ATTCGTTTCTGTATGAACAGAAGCTTGAAACAGAGGCAGATCGAATCAAAGACAGAAAGTCGGCTTATGCGGCTGTCGAATGGACCACTCTCAAATCTTCCCTCATCGTCTGACGGCGCATTTTCCACTCCCATATACCCCTGCTGCTCCGGCGACAACGTCGAACTTCAAGAAGCTCTTTTAGACTTCGATTTATCTTACCTTTTCAAGCCAAAACGGTCCCTGAATCTCACTGGTCTTTGATGACAAGTCTTGATTTTATACCGAACTTGGACACTGCTTGCTGACATGATATGTGCTGTCCATAGACGCCCACTTGCGCGCGCAGCTTGAGCTACTAAGCAAGCACACCGCGCCCGGCTCGACAGACAACGCGACCGGCCCAGCTCGCGGAGCTCGCCCTCAAGTTCCCAACCCTTTGACCGCGTCACCACCGCCGCCGGCACATGGCTATAGTAACGGCTCGACCTCGCCCACTGACGTCTTGCCGCCGATCGTTAATAACCAAGCCGACCCGGAAGCGCATATCCACCCTGATCTCCGAGCTCGAATCACGCACGCTCCAGCCGTCAACATGATGCCTGCCGGTGTACCAGTTCAACCGCAGCAGCAAATCGCGCCTCCCGTGACGACTGCCGGTCCTTCTACCGCACCTCCCGTTCATTCTCCCACAGAAATGGACTTGGACGACGGCGCGGAGGGTCGCAAGGCTAAGCGCGAACTGTCACAATCCAAGCGCGCCGCGCAAAACCGAGCTGCCCAGGTACGATAATCACAATCGAAAATGAAAGCGCTGGATCAATGGCGCGTGATATGCATTGCGCATGTCGCAGACGACTGTCGCAGCGCTCTTGATACATGGGAGACTATTGCTGGCTCGCCGACCAATCACTGCGACAGTGCCAACTGCATCCAGCGCGCCCACTCCAAAATCTCTAATATGACCTGATGATGAGCTTAAGCTAACTTGGATGCGCCACAGAGAGCTTTCCGCCAGCGAAAGGAGGGATACATCAAGAAGCTTGAGCAACAAGTTAGAGACTATATGGAAATGGAGGGACAGTACAAGACGATGCAGTCAGAGAACTACGCGTTGCGCGAGTACGTGATTCACCTCCAGTCACGCTTGCTTGATCTTCAGAGCGAGATCCCGCAGCCGCCGCCCAATGTCAACCTACAGCAACCGGCACTCCCGCCACCTTCGGTCCCGACAAGTGCCCCCGAAGCCCCGCCTAGCAATGCGGGTGCTGGTCCTCTCGAGGCCGTTGCGCAGGCAGTGGCCGGCTTGCAGGCCCAGGAGCAACTTGCGCAGAGGGATCAGTTCACAAGGCCCGAGGGGGCAACGAAGGAGGAGCCGCAACGTGAGGCTGATGGACCCATTGACCCATCGCTGCCGGATGGCCTTCCGGCACCGACTGCGTCCATGTGAGCGCGTCAAGAAAACGAGGACGTGTCGCATTTGAATCATGGTTTTCACGTCGCTGGCGTTGCGGTACAATGGTTTGTCAAGATATTACTAGTGGACTGGCGTTACCGGCATGGCTTCTATCCACCCGTTGTGGGTGTTTTTGTTTGCAATGCCCTCGGGTTTGATGTTCTTCAAAAGAGAGACGAAAGTAGGGATTTCGTAATTGTAACATTGACACGAGAGGCGAAGAGTGTCAAGGAGGGAGGAAATCGGGGACCTGAAGGAACTTGATACGAACCTCGAGGCGAAGCTCCGGCTTCGTCTTGAGTATTTACTGTCATTTATACCACTCGGGCCTTTACGCGACGTACATCGAGATCACCTCGGACAATGTTTCGTTTCATTACCACGAAGCCGAGGGTGACCTAGGCATCGTTGGAAAGTTTCATTGCAGATAGCTTCCGCAGAAATCCTTTTTTTGCATGGCCTCCTAATGAACTGTTGTCTTCTGCCTCCCCTCATACGATGCGACGTGTCAGAGACGTATGACCAAGGCTCGAACATGGTGAGATCATGAAGGGATAGCAAAACTCGGCTTTTTCTCTTTTCATCAATTAAACTGGTGGCAGACGAGTAAGAAGACGTGTTGAAAGTAACATAAGTTGATTGAAATAAAGCCCAGCATTTGAATTCTCCCATTTCCCCTTCCTCTTTAAGACGTCCCGTTCCCTAGCCATAAAACCTCGCCACTTGCTGCAAAGCGCCCCTCTCGATCTCTCTTTCTCCTTTTGTAACTAATTATACATATGAAGTATTGCCAAGGTCGTGTTCCTATGATCAAAAAATGTTAGCCTGTCTTTCTAGTTTCGAAAATGGGGGGATGGGTTTAAGTGAGACTCACCTTGAGATACTCGGAGCCCTTCTCCTGATACTCCTCCCGCGTAATCGTAGCAGCCTTCCAAGCATCCGACCCAGCCCACCCGGCAGCACCCTTCCACGCGTCAAGGAGGGCGTCCTCGGCGCGGCGAATGGCAAGCGGCGCGCCGGCGGGGAGAAGAGGCCTCAACCCCTCGCGGAGACGCTCGTCGAAGCCCTGGAACAGCGTGTTGCCGCCCGTGAGGAAGACGTCCTTTAAGAAATCGTCGCGGTTCGGCACGCCGCCCAGGCGCTGGTTGAGGATGTCGCCGACAATCTCGATAAGACCCCCTTGGTCGACGCCGGCAATGGACGGTTGGAAGACGACCTCGGGCACGCGGATGCGCTCGACGTTGAGGTGGATCTGGTTCAGCTCGGCCTGAGAGCCGGCGTCAAAGGGCCGCGGGCCACGCGCAAAGGCATGGAGCATCGAGGTCGACCAATCCGTCTTGGCCTCGTGCGTATCCTCGTAGCCAAAGTCCGGGTCGTAGCGCAAGAGGTCCTCCTCGTACGTCTTGAGGTTCGCCTCGAGGTTTTCCTCCTCCTGCTCGTCGTCGCTGTTGTCGCCGACGGTGATTTGGCGGTACACGCCCCAGTCGTCGTCATTTTGTCCAAAGTTGTCGTCGTCGCCGCCGCGGCGTCTCTTCTTGACCGGGTTGTCGGACGCAAGATTGGCGATGCTCTTCATGCGGATCTGCGAGGCGAGCGACTTGCGGTTGCCCAGGTCCTGCTTGAGGCGCTCGCGCTCCTTCATCTTTTGCAGCGTCACCTCGCGCGCCTGACGCCTCTCCTCGAGCCAGCCGTCGAGGTCGTTCTCACGGCGCTCCACGTCCAGCCGCTTCTCCTCCTCGACGCGGGCCTTTTCAGCCTCCTTTTCGGCCTTGGCGCGCGCGCGCGCGTCGTGGTTGGATTTCATGAGCTTTTGCTGGCGCTTGGCCTTGATGCCCGCGTCGTCGAGCTCCTCGTCCGGTACATCGAGCAGGTCGAATACTGGCTCTTGTTGCTCCTCTGCGGGGTCGCCGCCAACATCCTTTGTACGAGCCTTCTTGACAGCCTTCTCGAGGGTGGCGATGGCTCTCTCGAGCGCCGCTTCGTCCTTGAGGTCGTTGCTATCGAGCAGCCGCCTGACCTCCTTCTTGTTGGTCTGCTGCTCCAGCTTGATCTGGAGCTTTTTGTACTGTTCTAGCTCGTTCTCCTTGCGCATAAGCTTTTCAAGGCGCATCTTCGCAGCTTGTTCCTGTAACCGCCGGCCGCTCTCCTTCTTCCGCTCGGCAATGCGAGCCAACTCCTCCTCCGTCTTTTGCACAATGACTTCCTCCGTGAAGGGGTACTGGATGACAATGTCCCGGTCCTCTAGGCCGGTCCAGTCCAAGTAGCCTCCCACCTCGGTATTGTAGTCTTTTGAGACATAAGCATGGTCGCGCAGCATGTGCTCGGCCTGAGATACGTTGAGCTTCCCGTTGAAAGCAGGGTACTTCAGCCGAATCAGCTTCAGCAGGTACTCTGCCGCATGCCATCCTCCCCAGTTCAATCTTGTAGCTTGGCTCAGCAGGGCCTTGTGATTGTAAACGGGTATAACGTGTGTAGAGGTGTAGGATGACGAGACCACAATGCCTGTATTTCCCTTGTTGTGTGTGTAGGAGAACAGCGAGTCGATACCGTACGCTAGGGAGGGTGCGCCGTAGCATTCGAAGACAATTTCTGTCATAGCTTTGGATACGTTAACTGTTGGTCTTTACATGCCGCGAGAAGCCAGCTTACATTTCCGTGAGTAGGGCAAGTTGGCAACCGCCTCCGTCATGATAATGGGCATGTCGATGGATGAATCGTCTCCGTTCAAGCCGAGCTTCAGAAAGATGTAGTCGAGAACGTGCTCCATGACATCCCAGTTGCTGACAATTCCCGTCCCTTGTTCGTGCGCATATCGTGTGTGACTCCTAGCTGTCGTGTCAGCGTAGCAGTCGCTGCCCGCAAATGAATACGTCTTTCCGGCTTTTCGGTCGCGGTATTTGGCCATGATCGGTGGGATGTTGAGCCTCGGTTTCTCTTCAAACGACCATCCTGCGCGGACAGTCGAAGATCCTATTGACGGTCAGTCAGATAAGCTGCCTTCGCTATGTGCGTCTCTCGGAGACCTTGCGAGCTTACCATTGTCGATTACGATGGCCGCGCCTCGGGAAGACTGCGCTAGTGCCTTCTCCCGTCCATCCTGCTGCACCGGAATCGGCTTCTCGAACTTGGCTTCCTTGACCTGGAAGATCTTGGCGGGCGGGTACGTCCTCTCGGGAGGTCCTGGCAGAGGGGGGAGCTCGCCCGTTGCTGAGGGCGCCATCGCAATGTTCGTGTGTTGGAGGAAAGGTCTAAGGTGTCGCAGTGCGACGGACCATGCTGGGGATTTACGGGCAGTGGTTGATGTATTTTGAAGCTGTACAGCTGGCGACGTCTTCGACGGGGAGGATTGTCAAGGTAAGATGCGTCTACGTCACGTGCGTCGCGTTCAATGCGTCTACTTGATTACGGTTGATGAAGCTGCGATGCGCCGTTGTTGCGAGGCTGCGAGGCTGTAAATTTCAGTGGACCCTGCCCGGCTTGTGCTGCTCAGGTTGCAGCGCAGCTACGCGATCTTAGCGCAGCGAAGGTACGAGGATCTTGGGAAGCGATGTGCACCGTCTGACAACATTCAAATTCACTTGCAAGATCTGCCAACCTCAAAGTTTCCATGGCCTTTGGAAAATGGAAGATACTGCAAAAAATACTGTTTATTCAGGATTCTGAAGTTACTCTTCAGAATTGGCTTCTCAAGGGGTATCTGCTCTAAGACTTGTGAATTGCGCCTGGAAATGTCATCAATCTTGTCTCATTCCTCATCCATGCTCCCAACGCGTAATCACGGGTTCTGCAATCCTTAAGCAGGCGGCTTCAGGTTGTCCGTAGCTGGCTCAGAATTAGCATTGATTCATCATGCATCGTGACAGAACTTACCCTCGAGATGGAACAAGACATTGGACTGGTAGTTCTTGAACATTTGAGCGACGAGTTCAACGTTCATGTTCTCAATATTGATCTCCTGAAATCCTGCATTAGGCAAGGCGAAATGACATGTAATAAAAATGAGTAGCTTACCTGCAGTGACCTGTTCATGACCATGACGGCCTCGTTGAGTTTCTCCTGAGACTGTATAAGTCGATAACCAAGAGGGGGTCATTGATGAGAGCAACATACAACATTGGTTATGATGCGAGAAAGCAGCAGGTTCTGTTGGTGCTCATGAGGGCTCTCCTGTTTGTTTCATCAGAACATATTTCATACCGAATTGGGAGCGACCTTGTCCAGAACCATACCATTTTGACGGGCAGGTATTTGTGGTTGTGATGTGTTTGTTTACTCGGTCAAAAGGACCCCACCACAATCGCAGATGACTTAACTCAGACAATGCTCTGGGCATCACTCACCGAGTTCACCGAGCCCCTACCATAGCGGTGAGCACCGGCAGAATAAGCTACCCGGTCACTGCTTGCCTCGTGTTGCGCAACCGGCCATTCACCTCCAATTCATACAGCAAAGCCTCGAGATCGCAGCTCAAACATCCGAAACCGCACAATCTTATATCACAAACGAAATGGCGGCCCCGAAAGAAGCAACAGAGGCGCAGATAGCCCACCAAGCCCTCCTCGACGAGCTCGACATCCACTCCATCCACAAGAGCTTCCGCAACCCCTCCTGGAAACCCAACCAGCGCCGCAACAAGAACATCAAGACAATCCTCGGCGACGCCTCCCGCCGCGAGGCCTCGGCCCTGGCGACCCCGCAACAAGAGGAAGTCAGCGCCGCGGCCACGCCAGCCGGGAAGCAAGGCGACGACGGCCTGTCCACGAGCGGCGCCTCGACGCCCGCGGCCGGCAGTGCCAGCAACGGCAACAACAGCAACCCGAACCTCGCGCAGGCCTCGCGTAGTCTCTCGAAGCTCGTGCTCGAGAAGAGCCTGCGTCCCAACGGTGCCGCCGGTGGTTCGGGGCCGAGCGTCACGTACACCAACGTCGAGTCGGCGCCGTCGCTGGCGCACACGAAGCGGTATTGCGATATCACGGGGTTGCCGGCGCCGTACATTGATCCCAAGACGCGGTTGAGATATCACGACAAGGAGGTGTTCGGGCTCATTCGGACTCTGCCGCAGGGCGCGGCTGAGCAGTACCTCGAGGCACGTGGTGCACATACTGTTCTCAAATAAGGAGTGTCTACAGCTTTGCATCTTATGGACTAGCCAGACAACGGCGGCGGCAGCAGGAGGCAGGAGACATGATGGTGTCACTTTTCACGGTTCGGGCGTTACTGGAGGTCAAGACTGTGGTCATAAACCAAGTTTCGGAGTCACTGGGGGTTTCAAGCGGAATAAGTCTTTTTCAATCAAGACGATGAGTATATATCATACGAATGAGCTATCAGGTTTGGGAAATCTATGAATGTGCGACCAACAAAGTCAAATCTCAACTATGCAGCCCTGCGCCTTTCAGCATAGGGTGTTAGATGACACTCCGGCTTAATCGTGATAAACTGTTGTTCTTCGCCTGTGAATCGACAGATTACCGAGAACGTATGGGAAACGAAACTCAGTTGCTATAACTTGAAGCTACAGCCGCCGCGGCGGAACTGCTATGCAGTTGTGTTTTGCTTACCGTTGGGTTGAAGAGCATCAGACTTGCTTGAGTACGGTCGCAAGGGCGATCTCGCTCATATGTCAGCTGTACTGGAGCTGATGGTCTGGATGCCCTTTTCTGTGTCAACAGAGCATCGCCGCGATATTGCTGTACTCCATCGCGAGGTCCAGCGATTTGCTGGATAGCAATAGTTGCCCAACTAGTGGAAAACGTAGAGAAGAGTGATCCGTAGAGAAACTAGTTGCGACAAGTGTCAACGAATTTATTGACTAGGAAACGCATAAAAGTGTTTCCAAGTGCACCATGGGTAACCTCGCCAGCCGGCCGTTCCTGATGCGCGTGTCGTCGAGTTCTTCAGGGGCGCGTTCAACACTGGGTTGATGTTGAAGGAGCATGATGGATTTTTTTCCAACTGCAGCGCGGGTTAAATCCATCGTGGGAAAATTGAAGACACGACACAATTGGCTGACCTTCAGAAATGGGCCCACATAATCTTAGTAGCTTTTCGATGCACCGCGCACCCGTGGCACACACCCCCAAACCCCCAAGAGTTAGGTTCGTTCTGTGACGGCGCGGCCAAGCACCAAGAACTGCAGCAAAGACCCCTGCTCGCGTGCCAGCGGCCGGCACCTTTCCCCCTGGTGATCTGTTCTTTGTTTAATCAAAGAATATTACGGCATCTCAGTCCAACTATACGCCAATCCTCTCTCGCGTATCTCTCATCCTCTTTACGCGATTGCAACGCCCTCTTCGGATTCTTCTCATCCTACAGCTACGTACAACGAGCACCCCTCGAACGACCGAATTGAAGCTCTCCTCTTATCCGACCACTCCCGTACACATACACACATCCCTCGACCTCGAGCTCGAACGAAGCTAGGAGCATATACCCAAGATGGCGTCAATGTGGATGTCCGATTCTCAAAGTACGTCTCTTTACGCCCAGCCGTATGGGCAACACCGCACCGATTTTGCGCAGCTTCTACATGCCGTGTCAAGGACTATAGCTGACCTTTTGTTCACAGAAATTGGAGTAATATTTTGCTCCGGAGGTACGTTTTGCGCCATCGCCAGCAACGCTCTGGCGCATCGAGTAGCACACGCAGAAAGGGAGATTCACAGGAGCTAACTTCTCTGCGCTTCCGACAGGAGGTTTCTTCCTCATCGGCGGAGTCATGATGTTCTTTGACCGAGCAATGTAAGTCGTCTTCCTTGAGGACTTGAGCTCTTCCACTTGGAATTCACGACAAGCGCTAACATAAATCCTTTCTCAGGCTGGCCATGGGAAACGTACGATGCCCCTCCACCCTGTCTTCATTCTCCCTGACCACATCCTATGCAACCTACGAAGAGAGAGAAAAAAAAAAGCTGACCAGCCAACCTCCCAAAAAATAGATCCTCTTCCTCATCGGCCTTACAATCATCATCGGACCCCAAAAGACGCTCCTCTTCTTCGCGCGGAAACAAAAGGCAAAGGGCACGGCCGCCTTCTTTGGCGGACTCGCGCTCATCCTGCTACGCTGGCCCCTGATCGGCTTCTGCGTCGAGCTGTACGGCATCATGGTCCTCTTTGGCGACTTCCTCGGCACGATTGCCGCCTTTGCGCGGAATATCCCCGTCATTGGGCCGTATATCGGGACCGCGGTCGATCGGTCTGGCGTTGGTCGCCGGAACGCCGAGTTGCCCGTGTAAGTTCCATCGGAAGGCGGGTGATGTATCAACGTATCAATGATTTCGGGGGCCACTGGAATGACGATGCTCTTTTGGACGGGAGGGAATTAAGCGTATAGACGGATTGTATACCATTACGGTGCAGGTCGGGTCCTGACCTATGATTTGATAAGACTTGTAATTACACGCGAATTTGCTTTTCGGTTCATGGGACAAGGCGAGACCTTGGACTAGAGACGACGGACTCGCTCAGGGATAATGAATGAATGGGGAGACACTTCATAATTATCTGGCACAAGGAGAACATAAACACGCATCAGTGACACACAGGGTTGGCCGCGGCTAAGCAAAGATTCCGCCATTGGTAAACTCTTGCTAATCTAGTGTTCGTCGATTCGTATTGTCAACATCCTCGTGTGTACGCGGGAGCGAGATGCCCAGCCTGCCTCGCACACAGTAACTCCAGGGGTTTATTTCCTAGAGCTGCAAAAACCCCCCCGCGCGCCCCGCCTCACGCCATCATCTCTTCTCCCCGGGGCTGGTATTCTAGTAGCTCACACTGACGAGGTAGTCTGCCAGCTTCTCCACTGCCAGGGTAGCGCTGCCGGCCTGCGCGTTCTCGCCGTGGTGGCCGAGAAGGATGGCCTGGGTCGACTTGGCTACGGCGATGCCCTCCTTGCCCTGTTCAAACGATTCAAGTCAGCCCTTCTGCGGATGATGCCATGCTTTTGTGCTTTCGGTGTGTGGTGCGCCCAAACCTTTCGCGCGTAAATGGCACCCTCCTCGGCACGGGCCATGACGTATCTCTCGCCGCCAATGAACAGACCGTCGGCAAAGGCCTTGTCCTTGACGTCCGACTTCCCGGTAACGATGTCGGCAACGACCTTCATCTCCGTGGCGGAGAGCTGCATTGCGCAAGAAAGATTGTTAGTAATAGTACAGGTAGCAAAGGGGGGTCGTTGGTTTGGCGATTGAAGGCGGGATAACATACGGTGAAACCGGCGCTCGATGCCCACGTGCTGTCACCGGCAATGCTGATGATGGCGGCCTTGTCAATGTGGCCGGTGCCGACCAAGCTACAGATCCCACGTCAGTCTTTCCTGGTCCATTGTATAGCTCAACGATCCTCGCGATGCGAAAGCCGTGAACAAAATGCTGGTGCAAAGCTACCTGGTGTCAACGTAAGCTGTAGAGAGAGGTCGTTAGCTCATTCTGATGATTCTCGAGGTGGGGGTTCCTTCGGGGTTGGCTTCTCCCTCTCCCTCACTGTCTCCCTCCTGAGAGCTGCCAACACCCGCATCGGCCCCTCGTGGGGGTGGGAGATTGCGAAGTGAGCTTACCTTGCCACGACATGATGAAGGAAGGAAGACGGGAGGAAATAAGAGACTAGTGCTCGCTGGTGCAAATAACAAAAAAAGAGACAAGAAGCTTCTCTGTGTTCGAAAGGGGGTGTGCAAAAAGCTCAAGCTTTGACGCGGTGTGGGATATGGAGGGGAGGAATTTCGGTTTGTGACTGTTGATGTTTCTTGTTCCTCTTTCCTGCCTGACGTTTGCCCCTCTCTGCTCCGAGGAATACCTCCATTACCTTAGCAAACCAATTTTTAGGTCCAGCGGGCCGGGCGGGGTATCACGCTACCTGCTGAGAGGTCATTGCTTGTGCCAAAGTAGCGGTGCGGGGTACTTTCTTCAGCATCGCGGGCATCGTAGGCGAATACCTCCGTTTCTCGTTGCTTCCACCCCCCGGCAACTGTAAGGTGCTTTGTTCAGGAAACGTCCAGCAATGTCATGCAGCTACACAGTAAGGGACTGCCAAAGAGTTGCTGTACCTTATCCGAACATTCTAACCCAGCTTCTGATTCCCAGCCTTGTCTGATGAATTGAGTCCCCCCCCCATCTATCTATCTACCTGTACGCAGTATTCCGTACCCGAGGTAGCTAATCCACTCGAGAGAGAGCTCAACGAGTCCACACGATCCGCCGGGTATTCCCATCACCGCCTTTATAGCCATTACCTTGCTTCAGGTAGGTACCCTACCTTACCGCCTTACGTATCTCCCACCTGGGTGCCACTTCCGGAAGCTGCCCCGCCAAACGCATTGTTGAGTCACGTGATGGCGGGGTGACTGTGCGAGAATGCCGCGAGAAGGCACAGTACGGACACGGCATTGTCGGTCCCACCCATTTGAGGGCCGTCACCGCCTCAGCTCGCCACATTCAATGCGCCACGGAAGCGGCCCCCATTTCCCATCTCCGCCAAGCTCAACACATCTCTGCCGGCGGCCCGGCAGAGCTCTAGCCCACCTTCCATCTCTATCGTCGTTGTTGGTATCAATAATTTTTGGTTTTCAGCAGGAATGAAGGAGCGAAACAGACGACTGACAGATAGAGTGTGAGGAAGGACGTGCAGAATGGAACCATTAGAAGGAAGGAGCTACTTCCCAAATATGTTTGGTTCGTCCATGCAAGAAGGAGCGCATATCCCATGTTAGCCACCACAGCTACTTCAGCCCGACTTGCGCTCCATTTTCCATTTCCTATCTATCTTTATTCTGTCTGCCTGCATGCGGTCAACAGATCTGCCTACAAGCGGCGAAGTCGAGCACGCTTGATCACCGACGGAAGTCCGCCCACAACGCACCTCGGAGTCCAAAGACGGGACGTTTCCGTCTTCAGCTCGGCCCTGCGCAGTCGCAGTCGTCTATCCAACCGATCGGGTCTTTGGACTTTTTGTCCCCATAACGCTGGGTTCCAGGCTGTACTGCATCTCTCCCAGGCTTTGGCCTCTCTTCATCAGACGGGATCCCGCTCGCCAGCGTACACGTCTGATCATCTGGATAAACTATCAGAGTTGTTTCCACTCGAGGCCTCTCACGGGATGCTACACTGTTAACGGATCGTCACCCGGGGCACCGCCTACGTTACGCTTGATCCGCTGCTGTCTCACACCTTAAATGACGGCCCTGGTCGTCTTGTCATCCCAACAACGTTTCCCGGCTCCCAAGTCCTGACTTTGCACGGATTCACGAATCCATCTACGGGCTAGGAAAGAATCGAAACAAAGACTGAAGTTCTTAGAAGAGACACAGACACCAAAGCCCAGACTTATTCTATTCGTAGAATAATCAGCCGGGAGGAACTGCTTAGCTTGGGATCGGTTGCCGCAAACCTACTTGCAGGTGCGGCGGAGGGCTCGGCTTACACGACGACTGGGTAAACTCAACCAACCATGCAAGGAACGAGCTGCATCTGCATGACATTATTCGTGAACATCACATGAGTGATGAAGAACACGAAAAGGGATTCGAGGCATCACTTCAGACGAACTTTGAGAACACGGCATGCTGTTCATCAAACCAGTTTTACTTTTTGACAGCAATGCGATCACCTCCTGGCAACAGGGTATGCTATCTTCGGAGTACCGGGGCACACTTGGCGATGATTTCTTCAGGGGCGTCTTTACGGCATCTCTTGACTGACGATATGTCTTGGAAGCGACCAGAACGACAGGGTGTCTTCCTGAAGGCCAGCAAAGTCTTTACTCGCGCTCTGGCCACCCAACGGACACACTGGCTGGCGGATTTGCAATCTTGAGACGATCATTCGGCTGTTCACCCTGGACGAGACAGTCCAAACCCAGTCGCTGGATAGCCTTGCTGCATCCTCCCATCACCTCTAAGCTCCTGATCTGCCCTGATACCTGGTCAGCCTTGTCACACAGGACTCCTCAATAGCCTGCGATTCTTTGGGGCAATTCTAGCCTCCAGGGCCTCGGAGATGATCTGACTGTGGGCCTATCGTGGACCGAGAAGAACCACAGGTGCTTGTCAGCGCCTAGGCCTAAGCGTACAGCACGTCGCACGCAGCCAACGCCAAAAAGTTCGAGAACAACAAACTCTCCAACGCTCGGCAACGCCCACCTCAGCAACAGCGCTCCGTGTCCCGGGAAGTCTGTTTCAATACGACGCCTTCTAAGATGGAGGGTGTTTGATTTCTCCCGGCTGACAGGACAACCTGTAAGGTCCAACAGCAGACACATACGAGGCACTAGGGCGTGTCGTCTACCAGATCCCCCCGAACGATGACACCTCGAGCGGCAGACTTATTCAGCGTCGGGCTCATGTAAGCTGCCAATTTCGTGTAACTTGGCGCGTCCTCTGTCAACCAACTTCCAAGAGATGTGAGCGGCTTGCATTGTCTTCGCAATGTCATTGCATGGTTGTATCAGGGAACACAATTGGTGTTTATGCCCGTGGGCTTGTTACGAGACCAACGTATACGGTATACGTCCGTACCTGTGCGGGAATGGACCCAACAAGAAGCGGTGGGAAAATGGACCAGGAAATAACCAAGATTTGATCAAATTACACCGACCAGCGCTGGCGTCACGCTGGATAAGCAGACCTTGTGTGAGAAGGTTATTTCCTTGATTGTGGACCATGGTTGGTGGGAAGCCGGATGAGCAACGATGCCTCTGATCCTTTCATTTAAAACGAGAGACCCGTTTGATGTCAGAGTGGGGGATCGGTACATGCGTGGACAGGGCGTTGTTAGCCCAGCGGTGCGGAGAGGATCCGCGACTGCAACGTCGTGTAACTCTCATTCGCTGACCGCATCGGCTGGGAGATTGAACTTCAAATGAAGCAATTTTCAGCCTGGTGACCGTTGGGCAAATCTTGGGGCGGCACTGGGCGTCAGAGGGGACGTCCTCGTGTTACTCATCTTGAGTCTGGGCCAGTCCCATCTTTCAGAGGCGATTCGGATCCCGGCTGTCCCAGTTTCTTGCAATGAGGATCAGTCCAGTTCGACGACTTCAACGGTCACTTTTACATTACCGCGACGCAGTGAAGGCCTCTCGGATTTGAGCGAAACGATTACATCGACGGACGAGGCTTGGGCCTCGGGGGGCCGACGACAACGAAGGCGAGAGGACGTGCGGTATGACAGGGACGACCCTGAGGCTTGTTCCCCCCGGGCTGGGGTAACCCAACCTTTCCAGGATGTCCCGCAGACCAAGCACGGATGCGACCCTCCCTCTTCTCTCATCCTTCTCGAATCCCTCCCCTCTTTAGCTCTCTCTAGCGGCAAGGTACGGCACGATACGACGGGGGGCACAACAAGGCATGTGGGCGTAGTCAATTTGAAGTCAAATTGCTTCTTATGAGCTTTCCGACGAGAAGCTCCAGAACGATAATACCGGAACCTGCCGCGGGTTGACGATGGAGTCATCCGAGGCTTCTCACTCAGCTCTTGACTCCCAGTCCCCCTCAGCCAGCCTTGACCCGCCACGCCGCACGGCAGTGTCAAAACAAAAATCAGACTATCCAGAGTCTCTAGACCTCTCGGTCACCCTGCAGATGACGACTCCGTTAATCATGCTTCGCCGCTGTGCTTCCCTACAGTTCTCGCTAGTCTGACACACGAAACCGCAAGACCTCCACTCGACCGCAGAAGATACGCGACTTATCGTTCACAAACGACCGGGACCCTCGATCCACAGACTGGCCCAAGGACAGGATGTCGAAGTTCGTCATCCTTGTGTTGATCAGCCCCCCCTAAAATATCCGTCCTATCAATCTCAAACAGGCGACAAAGTTGCGAGTCGCGTGCTGGAGACCAAGAACGAGGGCTTCTGGGCTCTGGGTCGACCCTGCAGAGGCGAAATCAGAGGGGATGATATCAAAGTAGAGTTAAGTCACAGTGTCCCCCCAGTCTACGGTCTGGGTCCTCTCCTGTTCTCTGCATATGGGCTTCGGGTAGTTCTCTGTCATCGGGTCTTCGGTCTTTCTTTCCAGCAACTGCCTTTCTACTAGCAGCCATATTTCTCATTTTCTCTTCTTTTGCCTCCACATTTGGCGCAACTTGCAAGACGGCCTTCTGGTCCTTCGATTCTAACTAGTTCCTGCGACCGCTTCCCATCATCTCCTTTTTCGAAACCGATCACCCCGCTCCACGTTCTGGGCATCCCGCCTGGCTCTTGCTCTTATAGCCCTGTCAACAAGGATCCGCCAAGCGCTAGCATTGCAAAGTCCTGTTCCGGGCCATTAGAGGAGCATGTTCAAATTGGTCAACCGTTCCAGATCTATGAAGAGCATGAGGACTGGTGGAGGGGCCCCCGGTGGTGTACAGACGCACGGCCCAGAGTCCCCCGTCCTGGGGTCGCCGGGTCTTGTGTCAAGTTTCCAACAGACCAAGGAAGACTCGAGCGCTTCTCAAAACGAGGGCGTGCCCTTCTTCGCAAAGGACGCTGCCGCCGACGCTGCCGCCGCTGCTGCCGTTGCCGTTGAAACTCGTAACACATACCGCCATCGCCCGCTACCAACACCTCCTCCATCCAAGGCGTCTTCGACCATGGCTGAGCGGCCCAGCACTAGCGGAGGTCTTTCACCTCATAACTACAGCACCACCAGCTTCAGATCCTTTGCTGATAGACGTATGTCCAAGGATGACCTGTACATCAGGCCTCAGTCTTCAGCACGTGGTGGTTACAAGTCGTATCACATCCCGATACGGGACAACCCAGCATCTCCGGTAGAGAGTCCTGGCGACTTCTCATACGACTTCTCGCCGGCGCGCACCTTTACGGTCAGGACACAGACGCCAGATTCAATGGATAGCAACATGGGAACGATAGCAATAGGCATGGCTATAGGAAGCCCGACACATCCACCTCCGGACTTCACAGCATCGCGCGAATTCCTTCCCTCGCCGATGCCCGCTCCGAGGGACGAGTGGCAACCACAGGCATCCAGCCTAAGCACGACCATGATGAGGGCCTCGCCAACACCAGAACCGCCGCAGGAGATCCCGGAACCTGTGCCCGCTCCAAAGCAGAAGTCAGGAAGGTGGAAACTGTTTGGCCGGTCAAAAAGCAAGAGACTTGCTTCATCCCCAGTCGCCATCTCACAACCCATGAATCTTCAACATCCGGCACCGACAAGGACAGACTTCGATATCTCACCGACGACGAACCAGGCTACTGACTTGGGAAGACGGAACACGGAGAAGAGGACGGCGGATAGCAAACCTGCCATGAAGCGCTCACAAACAGCTGGCCCGGTGGCCCCGCCGAGCCCGAAAGAATCAAAGCCCCCTAAACTACTAAGCAGAATGGCGTCCACACGATCGACCAAGAGCGTCAAGAAGTCAGACATATCTGCGCCGGTTCACGTCTCTATGGGAGTACCGGCTTTGCCGCCGAAACCGTCGGGTGGTTTCTTGGACGTAGAGATCCCCAGCATCACGATGGAGAGGTACAGTGTCATGTTTGGTAACGTCCTGGGACAACAGCCGAATGGACCACAAGATTCGACATCGGGACCACAAGGATTACAGCCTTCATCTTCGCTCCTGGCAAGGCGGCAAGCTACTCTGGACAGACTAAAAACGATCAACGACCAGGTCACGAGGGAAGAGGAAGAGAGGGAACGTACGAGGGGCCGGAGGGCAACATCACCACAGCCGCTCAAATCGCCCGCATTTTCGCTTTCCCTATTCCCAGCCACGCCGTCGGAATCGGCCAACAACCCGCCTCAGTCACCCCGTTTCCGCTCAAATACTTCGCCCGCTTTCCTGTCGTCCCCGCAGAGGGCAAGCTTTGAGCCAGCCGCAGAGGAAAGGAGCCCAGAATCCATCAAGCGCAAGACACCATCGCCCCAGATGAGCACACGGTCCAATCCCCTGGAGCCCTCCGCTGTACACAACTTCGTCTTTGGCCCCGAGCAGTCCGGCTTCATGCTTGACTCGCCAACAGACGACAACGAATCCGAGGAGATCCACCTGACAGAGCAACTGAAGCCGACCATCTACGAACCCTCATGGCAAATGATCACTACACCAGGCGAGTCCACCGCCCCATCGAGCGCTGCGCCCAGCGCAAAAGACCGTTCTCCCGCGTCGGTATCCTCAGTCCACACGCACGTCACAAAGCCGTCCCTTGACGAGTCTGAGCCCGACGACGCGCTCCGTGCTGCCGTGGAAATCTCGATTGCCCGACAGATCAGCATTTCCCGGCAGCAGCGGCGGATGCTCCGCCCGCTGAAGACGAATGCGGTTCGCACCGGCGGCAGCCCGGGTGTAAGAAGCCCGGTGACGACCATCACAGTGGGCAAGAACGAGCGGCTATCTACGACGAAGAGCGCGACACCGACGCTAATCAGCCACGGCGAGACGTTTGAGCAGCAGATCGCGCAGAATCGCAAGAGTTCGCGTATCATTGTTGAGGATGACTTGGCATAAACTCTGGCATAAACTCACATGAGTCTGCTTGCGGCTCTATGGGCATTGGACTCATACTACCACATTACTTTGGACATTCTTCTTCTAATTCCCTTCGTCCACATATACTGATGGTGCTCGGACACATCATTAGACTTACAACCACATTTGTTACTCAACTACCTTCTCACCCACGGATTTTGTTCCCTTACTCCGCCTTTTTTTGTCCACATTTTTCCCTTATTATTCTGGAGGACCATTTTGAAATATGTTTGTAGCGGGATTCATGCGCTTGGTGAAAGGGGTTTTCTTCACTCAGGTTTCAGATCTGGCGGGTTCGTTATGTTTGTGGGGTGTGTGTATGTGTGTGTGTGGTGGCCCTATCAGAAAAGCAAAGTGCAGACGTCTTTTTTGTCTCTTGCAAGCGAGTTTCCCGAGAAATCAAAACACGCAGAAGGATTTTCGACGGGTATCTGATTTCAGTCCCGAGTCTCCACGTCCTCCTGTACTACGGCCTCGAAGGTTCGTTTCTTTTGCGCGCAATCGATACCACTGGGGAGATTTTACTTTTTTCTTGTATCTTGGTGTGGGAGAGAGAGGCACGGCGCGGCGCGGCAGATGTCGGACAAAGGCCACAACCTGATACTGCCATGTGTCGAGTTTGGTTTCCCATCATGAAGAAAGCTTTTTGGAGAGTTCCTTTTCCTATTCTCTTGGATAATCCTAAAGCTTAAAAATAAACATGCCGTTTCCAGGTTCAATTTTTTTGAGTCAACACTTTCAGTAATAGACCGTGAAACGTCTTGACTATGTCCACAACTTGATACTTAAATGTACGTTGCAGACACACCTTAAGCCTCGAGGTAAGGTCGCTAGTGACGAGTTCTCAGTCTCAGTCAGCCCACGGCTACGCAGCAGTCACCAGACGCGTGGACTCCGCGTGGCGTTTGTAACTCCCAAAACCCCAGGCTGGAGCTGTAATTTCTGTCTTCCTCCCTGGAAGCCCCCCCTTCGTCCAAGTCGTTGAGTAAACTTGACTGGCAAGACCTCGGTGTACCTGGTTGGTTTGAATCTGGGGGCTCGCAAGACCACCACGCGTTCCCGTCTGTGGAGGAAACGACTTATAACTGGAGGAAGCGAGTGAAAGGGATATAGGTTCAGCCTCGCCTCCGTAGACATCGAGACCAATATTCTTCACACCTCAATGTTTTAGTATTCTAAATCGACTACACTAACGTCTGTGTGAGTACTCCAAACTTCACTCGAGCTCAGATTCTCAACTACAATATGCATGTTATACATGGTCTTTTCCCGTACCCGAGAGACCGGCATCTGTTGAACCGCAGGGGAACAGTCGTCAGAAGAAGCGATTAAGCGCCCCGAGCATTTCTTTGTCTCAAAACCATGAAGAAATCAGGCAACATGTCTCGGCTCGCTGCCCATTCTTTTACTGCACCTAGCTCGCTACATTGCAACAGAAAAAGATTTGTATTAATCCTAAAACTCTAGCCGTCCATTTTGTCTCGCAACTAGAAACAAGTTTGGCGGCCCGGTCCGAGGAGAAAAATATGAACACTGGTGCCTTGCCTGCCTGCCTTCCGTCTTCCCGCTGGGAGTGTAGGTAGTGCAAGAAGCCCCCCTCCTCCCCTGATGTTGTTGCAAAAAAAAAAGAAAAAAGTGAAGCATGGATAAATCGTTCTTGCTTGCGAAACCTAGCGAGCGTTGACACGGAGCGAGTGTTTATGCAGAGACAGAGAGTTCCAAGGGGGTCCAACGCCAGAACGTGTAAAGACGATTAACTCAGGTGAGGAAAGCTCGAGGCAATACCAAAAAAAAAAAGGGTGACTTCTTTTTTTACATGACGATGCAGCACGAGTTTTGCTTCTTTGCCTGCTGGTAAAACATCTTGCTCTGGGAGCTGAGGCCGTCGCTCTTGGCCACCAGGTCGTCAATCTTTTCTCCGCGCTCCAGGACGCTCTGGATGGTCTTGTGCAACACAATCTTGGTCTCGTCGAGCTCCTTTTGGATCTTGAGGATGGAGTCGGCCTGTTGCGGGTCTTGGTACCGTGTCAGATACTCCTTGAGCTCGGGGAGGACGAGCTTGGGTTCGCCCGTCGCCCATGTGGAGCGCGGGTGCTTGGTGAGGAACTCGTCAACGCTTTGTGGTGATTCCTTTGTTAGCAATGATGAGGGGAAGGGGAGGCTTGACGGCCCTGGGGAGATGGTGAACGTACATCTTGGAGAGGAGCTGGTGAGCGACGAGACTCGGGTATTGGTGATCGGAAATGATACTACAACAAGATGTCAGCACCATCCTTGGTGTATGTACGGCTCCTTGAGAAGACATATTTGAAGAGTCGCCCACTTACACGCCACAGATACCCTCGCTTCTTCCCACGCAGTGGAATGTGTTGTCGCCCTCCTCGATATCTTGCCTTTGACCAGGGCGCGTCGACTCGGCCACCTTCTTAGAGAATAGGCTCATGAACTCGGCGTAGCTGTCTGTGTTTGGACTATCGTCAGCCCAGGTTCAAGCATGGGGTATGGTATGAGGTCGAGGCCAAGTCGTCCGGCTCGTAGCTGGGTTGGCTCGTTGTCCATGCGCAATCGTGAATGGCTTACTTCTGGTGAATCGCGAGTATGCGGACAGCTCCATCTCGCTGCAAAGCTCGACGGCGGGCTTGCTGTCATTGCGGAGGATCTATGCGACGCAGGCATTAGTTGCGAGTGTCCGAATTGAATTGCTGAGTCGCGGGTGGGTGTTTGCAGGATCGCTCGAGGTCCCGAGTAGCAGCGATGAAAGAGAGACGTACTCCGATGTAGTGCAACTTCATTTTCTTGAATTATGGTGTTAGTCGTCGATCGTAGATGTCGCCGTTGAGGCGGTCTGGGCGATGAGAGGGGAGATCCGGCTGCGACTTACGGCGGAGTTTGAGGGGTGAGAGGGGTAGCGAAAAGGTGTAGTCGTGGAGTTTGCTTGTCGCGTGTTCGTAGGCAATTTACAGAGAAACGGAGGACGTCGAGTTCGGGAGAGCGGACTAGTTTATCGTGGGAGGGAGAGAAAGTCAGGTATTCGTAGGAGGAATTGGGAATGGAGATAATGGAGAAAGGAGACGATCCGAGTTGTAGGACGATGGAGAAAGCGTCCAGGTAGGTCTCGGCGTCGGTTCAAGGTTTACAGAGGGGCACCACCATAGGTACCGCGGGCACCTTGGGGAACGATTGGCTTAGAGGGGCGATACATCACATGCACCACCCACTATTAGGAAACTTGGCTCAGCGGACTGCCCCTCTAGGCTGCAGAGTAATTAAGGCATTGATGTACGGAGTACCTTGCTAAGCATTGCGATGACAGCCTGAGGTGCGGTGCCTGCCGCCTGCGGAGGCTCGGGCGCTCCCCTCTTCCATCAGTGTGGCGGTCAGCCCGTACCAAAGTACCTGTTTAAGAACTTTAGGTAAGGTACCTACAAAGAGCGAGGTGCGTGACGTGACGTGACCTAATGGGCAAAAAGTCTAGAACCCCCACCATCAACGGACGTCATTGGGTGCGGGAACGAATCGATGGAACTCTGCCAATCTGTGTGCCATGGTGCGTTACCTATGCTTACCTCCATAGGTGGCTGACAATAGAGGCCACAGTTGATCCGGCGGGGAGTTGGCAGCTGAAGGTACTTCCATCCCGCCCCACCATGCACCACGGCGGACAGCGACTCGGTGAATGACTCCTCCAAGACCGGGCCCGGCTTACCTACCACCGCTAGCCATCATCGACATTTTCGACCTCACAGGTCGTCTGTCTATGTGAGGACTGGGAAGAAGTTGCATCATTCCCATTTTTATTACTCTCCTTCTCCCATATAGCGAAACATAAAATTGAGAGTTCCAAGGATAACAACCCCTTGACGACCCAACAATGGCGTCTGCAAATCTCAACAATGCAGAGGTACAGTGGCGAGCCCAATTCGAAGCCATGAAAACGGCCTTGGCTGGTCTCAAGCTCCCCTCAGAACCTCCCTCGGATGTTGATTTCGACGATGAATACGAAGGCTACTCCTCAGGCAACGGTGCACAGGATGTTTGGGACTTTATCTCGGATGACGAAGACGACGAATACAGCAGCGACCAGCTAGACGGTCACGACGCCACCAACGGCGACGCTGGTTACGGCGCCGCCTGGTTCGTGAGCAAGTGCTCGTCCATTGCCGCGAAGAACGGTCTAGCCGAAGACGTGTTCCAAAACCAGATCATCAGCATCTTGACATCCGGCCAGGGCGATGAAGAGCTCCAGTCCCAGCTGGCTGATCTCGTTGGCTTTGACGACTTTGACTTCATCATCGAACTCCTCGGCCACCGCAATGAGATTGTCACGGCCGTGACCTCCCAGGGATCCCAGGAACCCAAAGGGAGACTCCTGAGCAAGGCACAACGTGAGGAGGCCTTGAGAAGACAAGACTTTGAGCACAAGAATGCGACCCTCGCGCCCTCCATGACCAGGGAAGTCCAGTACCCCCATGTGTACAAGGCATACAATGCCGGAAACTCCCTCAGTCATTCAGGCCAGAAGTATGGCCTCCCAAGCGGCAGTGAAAGGCTACTGTTCGACAAGTATGAGGAGTATGCCATTCCTGCAGGGAAGAAGGGAGTTCTGGGTCCCGGCCAGAAACTGGTCAAGATCTCAGATATGGACGGTCTGTGTCGCGGCACCTTCAAGGGCTACAAGTCTCTCAACCGTATGCAGAGTCTCGTGCACCCAGTCGCATACAGGACAAACGAGAATATGCTCATTTGTGCTCCTACTGGTGCCGTAAGTCGCTTCAAGTCTGTCGCGATAGATGCGGATTACTGACTGGACACAGGGTAAAACGGATGCGGCCATGCTCACAGTTCTCCAAACCATTGGCCACTACTGCACGCCCAACCCCATTGAAGACATGACTGCCACAGACTTCGCAGTCCATCTCCAGGATTTTAAGATCGTCTATGTCGCCCCGATGAAGGCTTTGGCCGCAGAAATCACCGAGAAGCTCGGCAAGCGGCTGGCATGGTTGGGCATCAAGTGCCGTGAGTTCACTGGAGATATGCACCTGACCAAGGCCGAGATTGTGCAGACCCAAATCATCGTCACAACCCCTGAGAAGTGGGATGTTGTCACGAGAAAGGGAACTGGTGATACCGAGTTAGTGCAGAAAGTCCGCCTTCTGATCATTGATGAGGTTCACATGCTTCACGATGAGCGTGGTGCTGTTCTGGAATCTCTCGTTGCTAGAACTGAGCGTCAAGTCGAGAGCACCCAGTCGCTGATTCGTATCGTCGGTCTCAGTGCCACGCTTCCGAACTACGTGGACGTTGCCGACTTCCTCAAAGTAAACCGGCACGCCGGTATGTTCTACTTCGACGCCTCATTCCGTCCGGTACCTTTGGAGCAACACTTCATCGGTGTGAAGGGTAAAGCTGGTTCCAAGGCGTCCAGGGAGAACTTGGACCAAGTTGCCTTTGAAAAAGTCAGGGACATGCTCCAGAGAGGTCACCAAGTCATGGTCTTTGTCCATTCGCGACGAGATACTCTCCTGACGGCCAAAATGCTTTACGAGAAGGCTATAGAAGACTTTTGCGTGGATCTGTTCGATCCGACAGACCACCCAAATTATGAGAACGCCGTACGAGACATGAAGCAGTCCAAGGCGCGAGATCTGAGAGAACTAGTGCCCAAGGGCTTGGGTATCCATCACGCTGGTATGGCACGCTCCGACAGAAATCTTATGGAGAGGCTCTTCGGAGAGGGCGTTCTCAAGGTTCTCTGCTGTACAGCGACTCTCGCTTGGGGTGTCAACTTGCCCGCGGCTGCCGTCGTTATCAAGGGAACCCAAGTGTACAGCGCACAGGAGGGTAAATTTGTCGATCTCGGTATTCTCGATGTCTTGCAAATCTTTGGTCGTGCCGGTCGTCCCCAATTCGAGGACACTGGTATCGGTATGATTTGTACCACTCAAGACAGACTCCATCACTACTTGGCCACCGTCACAGAGCAGCAACCGATCGAATCCAAGTTTTCCACAAAGCTCGTCGACAATCTGAATGCCGAGATCTCTCTAGGCACTGTGACGTCGATCCCGGAGGCTGTTCAGTGGATTGGATACTCGTACCTCTTTGTCCGCATGCAAAGAAGTCCAATGAGCTATGGTATCGAGTGGGCTGAAATCAGAGACGATCCCACGCTCGTTCAAAGGCGTCGCACGCTGGCTATCCAGGCCGCCCGGACTCTCCAACAAAGCCAGATGATCATCTTCAATGAAGTGACCGAGGAGCTCCGCAGCAAAGATATCGGCCGCATTGCCAGCCAGTACTACATCTTGCACACGAGTATTCAGATCTTCAACACCATGATGCGACCCATGGCCACCGAGGCTGATATTCTGAAGATGATCGCCATGAGTGGAGAGTTTGACAACATTCAGTCCAGAGATTCTGAAGAAAAGGAGCTGACGCGTCTGAAGAACGATGTCGTTCCTTGCGACGTTGACGGCGGCATTGACACGCCCCAGGCCAAGACCAATATCCTGCTTCAGGCATACATCTCGAGAGCGCAGCCAGAAGACTTTGCTCTTGGCAATGATCTGAACTATGTTGCTCAGCAGGCGGGCCGTATCTGCAGAGCCTTGTTCATGATTGCTCTGAATAGGAGATGGGGCCATCAGTGTTTAGTTCTGCTTACCCTTGCCAAGTCCATTGAGAAACGCATCTGGCCATTCCAGCACCCTCTACACCAGTTCGATCTTCCCAAGTCGGTCTTCAACCAGCTCGACGCCAAGGACAACATGACAGTGGAGGCAATGAGAGACATGGAATCTGCCGAGATCGGTGCTCTGGTTCACAACCAGAACGCGGGCAAGAAGATTGCTCACATTTTGACCAACTTTCCGACCATCAGCGTTGAGGCGGAAATTGCGCCTCTCAACCGCGACGTTCTCCGGATCAAGTTGTTTATCGAGCCTGACTTCCGCTGGAACGACCACATTCACGGGACTTCCGAATCATACTACATCTGGGTCGAGAACTCCGAGACATCTGAGATCTACCATCACGAGTTCTTCCTTCTTAACAGGAGAAAGCTTCACGATGAACACGAACTCAACTTCACCATCCCTCTTTCAGACCCCCTGCCCACCCAGATCTATGTACGCGCAGTTTCTGACCGATGGCTTGGCGCTGAGACGGTGACGCCTGTTTCTTTCCAGCACCTCATTCGCCCAGACACTGAGAGCGTGTACACTGATCTCCTTAACTTGCAACCCCTGCCCATCAGCGCTCTCAAGAACCCGGCTCTCGAGGAGATTTACGCCGAACGCTTCCAGTACTTCAACCCTATGCAGACTCAAATTTTCCACACCCTCTATCACACACCTGCCAACGTTCTCCTCGGATCTCCCACTGGTAGTGGAAAGACCGTCGCGGCAGAGCTGGCGATGTGGTGGGCTTTCAGGGAGCGGCCGAAATCCAAGGTTGTATACATTGCGCCCATGAAGGCTCTAGTTCGCGAGCGTGTCAAAGATTGGGGAGCTCGACTCGCTCGACCTTTGGGATTGAAGCTGGTCGAATTGACAGGTACGTTGCTCGTGGCGAGGGATATTTGAATACCTACTGACCTCCTCAGGTGACAATACCCCTGATACGCGCACTATCAAGGATGCCGATGTTATCATCACCACGCCTGAGAAATGGGACGGTATCTCTCGTAGTTGGCAGACGAGAGGCTACGTTCGGCAAGTGAGTCTCGTCATCATTGACGAGATTCATCTCCTGGCTGGTGATCGTGGTCCGATTCTAGAAATCATTGTCTCTCGTAAGTGTTGCAAATAAAGAAACATGACCAAGCAAGATGCTGACAGACTCAAGGTATGAATTACATCGCGGCATCCATCAAGAACTCTGTCCGCCTCCTCGGTATGTCAACGGCATGCGCTAACGCCACTGATCTGGGCAACTGGCTCGGTGTCAAGGAAGGCCTATTCAACTTCCGCCACTCCGTGCGTCCGGTTCCCCTGGAGCTGTACATCGATGGTTTCCCCGAGGTCAGAGGATTCTGCCCGTTGATGCAGTCCATGAACCGCCCGACGTTCCTCGCCGTCAAGACGCACAGCCCCGACAAGCCCGTCATCGTTTTCGTACCTTCTCGTAGACAGACGCGTCTGACGGCCAAGGACCTCATCAACTACTGCGGCATGGAAGACAACCCTCGCCGATTCCTCCATATGGATGAGGATGACCTCCAGCTCAATCTCGCCAGAGTCAAGGACGACGCTCTCAAAGAAGCCATCAGCTTCGGTATCGGACTCCACCATGCCGGTCTCGTCGAGTCTGATCGTCAGCTGGCCGAGGAACTTTTCCTGAACAACAAGATTCAAATCCTCGTCGCCACCAGTACCCTCGCGTGGGGTGTCAACCTGCCGGCCCACCTCGTCGTCGTCAAGGGCACGCAATTCTACGACGCAAAGATTGAAGGTTACAAAGACATGGACCTGACAGACGTTCTCCAGATGCTGGGACGCGCCGGTCGTCCGCAGTTCGACAACTCCGGCGTGGCCCGCATCTTCACCAAGGATGCCAAGAAGGACTTTTACAAGCACTTCCTCCACACCGGCTTCCCCGTCGAGTCGTCCCTCCACACGGTCCTCGACAACCATTTGTGCGCCGAAGTCTCTGCCGAGACCATTGTCACAAAGCAAGACGCCCTCGACTATCTGACTTGGACCTTCTTCTTCCGTCGCCTGCACAAGAACCCATCCTACTACGGCCTCGAGATCTCGGCCGAGGAGCACAACAGCATCGCCGCCCAGACCATGGCAAACGACTACATGATTGAGATGATTGACAAGTCCCTCGACGAGCTCGCCCGCTCCAGCTGCGTCGAAGTCTTCCCCAACGGCGACGTCGACCCCACCCCAATGGGCAAGATCATGAGCTACTACTACCTGTCCCACATCACCATCCGCCACCTGGTCAAGCACATAAAGCCCGGCGCTGACCTCCTCAACGTCCTCTCCTGGATGTCCCGCGCCACAGAGTACGACGAGCTCCCCGTCCGCCACAATGAGGACCTCATCAATGAAGAACTCTCCCGCAACCTCGTGTTTCCCGGCAGCTCTTTTGGCCTTCCCATGTGGGATCCCCACGTGAAGGCCTTCCTCCTCCTCCAGGCGCACATGTCTCGCATCTCCCTCCCCATCACCGATTACGTCGGCGACCAGACCAGCGTCCTCGACCAAGCCATCCGTATCATCCAGGCCTCCATCGACGTCACAACCGAACTAGGCCACCTCTCCACCTGCCTGCAGTTCATCACCCTCCTCCAATGCATCAAATCCGCCCGCTGGCCCACAGACGCCCCGGCCTCCATCCTCCCCGGCGTTGGCCTCGACACCCTCAAAGCAGACAAATCCAACCTCACCCTCGCCAAAATCTCCGCCCTCGCCTCCTCCCCCTCCAAAATCACCTCCCTCGCAAAACAGCTCTCCGTCCCGCCGCACCAACAACCCCGCTTCGCCAAAGCCGCCTCCCAACTCCCCAACCTCGCCGTCGCCGTCCCCGCGCCGGAAACCACAGCCCTCAGCGTGACCGTCGACCTCCGCCGCCTGAACCCCTTAACGGAGCGCGACGCCCACGTCTACGCGCCCCGCTTCCCGAAACCCCAAAACGAAGGCTGGTTCGTCCTCCTCGCCGACCCGACCCGCGACGACGTCCTCGCCGTCAAGCGCGCAGGCTGGTCCGGAGGGCCGGGCCGCAGCGTCGCCGTCGGCTCCAAGCCTACCGCGCGCGTGACCGTCAAGGTGCCCGAGGCCGCGCAGGGCAAGAAGCTTGAGGTCATTGTCGTCAGCGACGCGTACGTCGGGATGGAGTACCGCGTTGCCGTTGACGTGCCCGCGGCGCCGGTCGTGGATGACGACGTGGATAAGTCCAAGAAGGCGCAGTTTCAGCAGCGTGGTGACGGTGGTGCCTCTCGGGCTTGAGAGTAACGCACGTATTCACTCACTGTAGATCAAATTTAACCGGTAGCCTAGGACGGCGGGATTGTGCTCTTGACAGTGGCAAATGAGATTTGGGCTATATTAGATGCAGCATAGATGGAGAGCCGACCGCTACCTATGGATGCAGATGATGAGAAACCCGCCACTGCTGCTAGACATGAGAAAACCCCCATCTGAAACCGAAGAAGCAATATGAACAAGAAGAGAACACACCCAATCCCCATGCCTTTATGTCAATGAAAATCCGTTCAAGAAACAACAAAACGTGAACAATGCCCTCTCGCGAGAGATGATGTCCCCCTTCCTGTCCATGTAAAAAGCAAGTTTAAGAAAAATCCCCATGGAAGCGAATTAGGGGGTCAAGGTGGGAGGAGATTCAACCCCTCTGCCCAGTACCCATGATAACGAAAATACGAAGACATATCCTTCATCCGCAATATGTAGACAACAGAAAATCAAGACATGCCCCTTTCCCAAATGAAGCTCCTAAACAAAAAAAAAAAGATTCACATCCTCCTCCCGTTCCGTGTACTGTGATCCCCCAATGACGAGCACCCTTTGATAGATGCCCCGATGACCCAAAACAAAATTCAAGAAAACGCCTTCGCACCATGCTTGCAGTTCCTTCCCAGAGATCAAAAACAAGGTCGTGTTCGTCGGTACCAGTCCGGATGATGCGTTCCACTGCTGCTGCCTCCGAGTCGATATGTGACGTGAGTGATAGAGCACACAATGCTCCGAGTAAAACTATGCGCATCGTCTTCGTCGCTATCGTTGTCGTCGTCGTTGGATAATCCTCTCAGTTCATTCCCAATCCGTTCATACCCTCCGCTCATGTCGTGCCCGAATGCGGAGTCAATGCTCGTTGTATCTGCATTCTCCGTCCAGCCCTCTATCCTCAGATTAGGCAGCGGGGGAAAAATCATGCTCATGAGGCCCATGTTCCAGAGTCTCATCGCACATCTCTCGTCTCCGTATGCCATACTTCCTTCTCCGTAACCACTTCAACAGCACTTCCTCCGTGCCTTGCCAGCGCCCTCATCAGCATCCTGCTCCGTCCCGCCCTGCTCAACCGTGACAGCAGGCGAGAAATTCGGCGAGAACAACCAGCTCCGCCGGTCCCGTCCGACGCGGAAGCTGCCCCTGGGATTCATGCCATCAAAGTACCCGCCGTCCATGCCCGTCTCGTACCCCGGCGTGCCAGGCGTAGCCGTAGCCAACAGCAGCGCCTGCTGCATCTTGCGGTTCTGCTCAACGAGCTTCCTCGTCACGACGCGGAAAACCTCCTCGACGCCCTCGCCGCTCTCGGCGCTGATCTCATGGCAGGCATCCCAGCCGACCTCCTGGCCCCAGAACCCGGAACTGCGCTTCGAAGACGGGCTGCGCGGTTCGCCGCCGCCGCCGAATGTGCTCGTGCTCTGGTGGACCTGCGAGGAGGACTGGCGCGGGTCGGAGGAGGAGAGGAGGGAGGGCATGCCGCTGGAGGTTGCTGTCGGGGGCGGTGTCGAGGCCAGGCCGGGGGCGAGGTTCTCTGCGACGTAGGCTATACAGCGCTCAAAGGGGACTTCGCGGCGGGAGGGGTCGCGGGCGACGATGTCTGCTTTCGTGCCGACGACGTGGAGGACGACGTCGCCGGGGAGGTTGCGGCGGAGCTCGGTGAGCCAGACGCCCATTTCTGTGAAGGACTGGGCGTCTGTGATGGAGTAGCAGAGGATGCAGGCGTTTGCGCCGCGGTAGTAGAGGCGGGAGATGGAGCGGAAGCGTTCTTGGCCGGCTGGAGGAGGGCGAAGGTTGTGTTAGTAAATGGAAAGTTTCTCTTTTGCGACTGCGAGAACGAAAGTTGACAGCAAGAGTAACTTCGTTATCGCAGCTGGGTGGTAAGGGTGGGTGGAGGTGGGAAAGGGGGGAAAAGCATACCGGTATCCCAGATCTGTAGTCGCACCACGGTGTCGGTATCGGTATCGACGACGCGCTTGGTCATGAAGCTCGCGCCCACGGTGGAGGTTGTCTGGGCCGGGTTGAAGGAGCCCTTGCAATAGCGCATGACGAGGCTCGTCTTGCCGACATTTTGGGAGCCGAGGACGACGATCTTGGCCTCGAGAGACGACATTCTCCCTTTTCTCTCTCAAATGCGCCCCGTATGCCCCGTATGCAACGGGGAAAGAGAGAGGGTGAGATTGGGCGGAGCAGAGGAGGAGTAGCGCGGAATGCGCTTTCTTGAGGAGGAGAGGTCGGATCGATCGGTAGGTTGAGAGAAGCGAATGTTTGACCGGATTCGTCTTTGGAAAGTGGTTCGATGCGTGATGCGACCAAGAGCGTGAGGGGTGTATGGCTGTGGTGGTGGTGGTGGTGGTGGTAGGTATCAGCAGTGAGGAGGGAACACTGGAATTCGGTGAGGGACAGCGCGGGAATGCTGGTGAGAATGGGTTTGTTGAAGAATCGTGGGGGGACTCGAGAGGGAGTGAAGCTCAAACGGGTGTGGCTTTCGTGCTAATCTGTGCTAATCCTCGATTGGGGAGGGCGATGTTGAATTCTTTGGAAGAAAAGGGTAAAGACAACCGTTTGGTTTCCAAGGGAGGAGTACTCGACGAAACGTTGGTGGTAGTGTTGGTGGTGGCTTCCGCTTGATGCGCGGCTTTCTCTCTCGTCTGTTGTGATACCCGGGGGGTACGGTACGGCTACGGTACCTGTGTACACGAAGGGAAAAACAAACACAATGCGCTCTTTTTTCTCTCTTTCTCTCCCTTGCTTTCTATCCAGTCTTTTCTTTTTCTAGTGTCCCTTTCTTGTCTTTCTCTGTTCGCTTAGGGTAAGTGCGCGAGTGCTAGATCGAAACGTAGTCACGCCGGCGCCAAGTTTAAAACGCAGGCAGCCACGAGGTCAGTGATCGACCGATGAGGCGCGTGGTGGTTGTGGTGGTGGGTGCCCGCCTTTTTCGGTAAGCGGGACAAGACAGATTTGGGGTGAATTGGATGGGAGTTTGAGTGAGTGTGCATGGGACGGCCGAGTTTCTGAGGTGAGATTGAGCTGTGTTGGCAAGGACGGGGATACTACGAGCTTTTTTTTCTGTGGTTGAAAGAGAAGAAGACCGAGAAAACAATCCTGGTTGTTGAAACAGAGAATAGGAAGTGGGCGATTCGGCTCCGAGAGGCGTTGCAACGGCAGCTAGCAACAGACGAGGATGTGGGTTGTTTGATTTCTTGGTGTTGTTTTGTTTGTTTTGTTGTTGTATTTCTTTCTCTCTTTTCTCGCCTACGTAACAAGGGGGGGATGAGACGGTAAGGAAAGGATCACGGGCGGGGGACGGGACATGATGTGGATTTCTCAGCTTTATTCTACGGGGAAGAAGAATCTTCTTCATTCTCACAGTGACTGTGCGCCAACGTGATGTGATTCTACTATTGCATTTTAGGTGGTTCAAAACCGAGAGATTGGAGTTGCATCCCACCTCCATTTTCCGTTTCTTTTCGAGACCAAGGTGCGTTCCGGACGAGCGTTACCACGTATGGGATTTAGTGGTTGGCGCGGGGGAATTGAGGCTGAGGCCGTGGGGTTAGCTATAGTATAGCCATCTCCTGTTGGGATCAGAATAGTTCGTTATCAGGAGAACTGCTGATAGATGCGAGATCCTTTGTTTTAGGAAGGGATCTTGCATGGACGGGCGTTGGGGAACATGGGGGGGGGGGGGGGGGGGGGGCATCTGATGTATCAGTGTATCATATGGTGAGCGATGATCCCAACTGCTGCTTCTTCTAGAAATGTTCCACTCCCAGGCACTTGGTGACCAAAAGCCGGCACCAGCTCCGTCTTCATACCCTACTGAAGCCAATGCGTGTATCTGGCGCGACCATGGCTGGCTCCATACAATAGAATGCCTCAACTTCACTCTCAAAGGATGCTCCAAAAGTCAGTCGCATTGTCATCCACCTGGTTGTCCGATTTGGAGATGGTCGCGTGGTGCACTCAAAGCGGGCCCTCTCTCCAAAAAAAACGCATAATGTCGTCATCGGGTCAAGGTCATAATCAAGATGGGCATCACCTCATGGGCCACTCTATCTATACCCTCAACGTTGTAGCCGTCAATTGATAGGGGTCACCATTAGTAGTTCAACATTACCTTCAGCAACATTACACAAGTGCAAGCTCACTCATTATCAAACACACAACACTCGGACCCTTCGTATTAAACATTAATTTTTCTTTTTTCTTTCTGGTATCTAATTAAGTATTGTCTAATGTCTAAAATTGTTGCTTCTTTTCTTTTCTCTAATCCCGCTTTCCAAAAAAATATATCAGAATTCGCTACATTATTAACGTTCCCTTTTCTACCGTTCTACAAGACAACGTGCACAGTCTTCGCAATGCTAGGCGTGCCCTGCGCATTCGAGACAAACAGGTAGTAGAATCCAGGAAGCAGGATGCCATAGTCCTCGGGCAACTTGGCAGTGAAGGCCTGACCGTCAACCTGCACGTTGTCAAGCGGGATGCGACGCTGGTCCGTGTTGGACGAGTGCGTGACGCTACCGGTACGGATAAGCGTGACCTTGCACCCAGCACCACCGGCCTCGACGCCCTCGACGGAGAAGGTGATCGTCGCGCCGGCCTTGACGGCCTCCTCGCTAACGCCCGAGACGACGGGCCGCGCGGCCTTGGAGCCGTCGGCGTTGTACAGGTACGGCGGCTCAAAGATTTCGCCGTCGGCGTGGTCGACAGTCTTATCGCAGCCGGCGGTCGAGCCCAGGATCTGCTGGACATAGCACAGGCCGCCGCCGCCCGTGAAGACGGTGGCGTCGGGCATGAGGATGGAGACGGAGTGGTAGTTACGCGGGACGGCCATGGGCGCCATCTGCTTCCACTCCTTGGTCTCCGGGTTGAAGAGCTCGGCGATGAGGATGCCGTCCGTATTGGTGAAGACGAGGGACTTGCGCTGGCCGCCCGTGACGAGGACCTGGCCGTCGGGGAGGACCACGGCGTTGGCGAAGCCGCGGGGGAAGGCCATGTCCGCCACGCGCTCGACCTCGGACGGGGTGCCAGGCTCACCGATGGTGGTGATGTGAGCGTGCACGGTGGCGTCGCTATCGGTGTAGTCGGGGCTTCCGCCGGCCGAGAGGATCTTGCCGGCGACAGCGTCGTACATGACCCAGGTGCCGCACATGGCGTCGTCGTCGTCGCGGGTGGCGGCCTTGGTGACGGAGCCGGTGCCCTCGATGCCAAACCAGTGCTGGTCCTTGCCTGGGCCGGCCTGGAAGATGCTGTTGTTCTTCCAGCCAAAGAGCCAGGCGTGGTTATCCTCGCGCCAAATACCTTCGTGGTCGTTGGTCAGGATCGGGGTGACGTCGGCGTCGGGCAGGTAGGTCCACTCATTGGCTTCGGGGTCGTACACCTCGCCGTTCTTTCCCTCGCGCTTGCCAGAGTAGGCTCCGCCAATTGTGAAGATCTTACCGCTGGAGAGGAGGGTAGAGGTCTGGTAGCCGCGGGCGACCTTCAGGTCGGGACCGCGGGTGAAGTTGTTGGTTGCCGGGTCGTAGATGCTGACGGCCTCAGCGTCGGAGCCACCCTGGATGACGATGCGGCCGTCCTGGAGCTGGCTGATGGCGGGACAGAACATGTCGTGGTGGGTATTGGCGACGGCACGCTCAGAAATCTGGCCGGTAGCGAAGTTGTAGTCACCGTACTGGGTCAAGCCGGAAGCACCACCAAAGGCGTCGACTCCCCACGAGGAGAAGAACAGCAGTCTGCTGGGCTCGGGGTAGGACGGGACGATGTAAGCCGCAACGGGGATCACAGGCAGACGGATGAGGTCACCCCACTTGCCCTGGACGGCCGGGTTGATGTTCTCGGGGACGTGAATGGTGTCGAACTGCTTGTTCTGGACCCAGAAGAGAGACGTCTCGGGCTCGGCAGCCTTGATATGGCAGACGTTGTTGATGTTGTCAAAGACGGCCTTCTTGCAGTTCTGGGTGTTCGAGCAGAGCTCGGCGCAGGCTTGGATGGTCGTCACATCCTGAACAATTTTGGCGCTGTTACCGGTGTAATCGGTGCCACGGCAGACTTGGTAGTCGGCACTGCCCTTGGGAACTCGGTAGCCCTCCTCCTTGAAGGGGCAGGTAGCGAGGAATGTGCCGTCGGCAAAGTCGTTTGTCATGCGGATGGCGTCGAAGCGGTCGTCGGCGGCCCAGTTCATCTCGTTCTTGGTGTCCTTGACGTGGCAAACCTTGAGCTCCTTGTCATAGACGGCTCTGTTACAGCGAGCATCCTTGTCACAGATCTGAACACACTCGACAGTGGTCTGGACATTTTGGACGTATTGAAGACTGCCACCGCCAAACTGGTAGTCAGAGCCAGGGCAGACGGTGTACTTGACTCCAATGGGCGAATCCCATTCGGCCTCATCGTTCGGGCAGGCCGTGATGGCCGCGGAGGAGAGCCGTGAGAAGAGAGAAGCGGCCGCGATGGCCTTATATGCGGTTGAACGAACCATGTTGATGTGTTGGTGTTTTTGGAGCTGAAGTGGCTCGTGTACTAGAGAATGTGGTTCCTCAATAAGACCGAGGTTGGATGTATGTTTGTGTGTATATGAGTGAGTGTGGTTATTAGACACGTATAAGCAATGAGAGACGTGTGTCTATAATTAAGGATAGCACAAAGAGTAAGGAAAGGCACGAGAGGCTACTCGTGAGGGATTGTCGATGAGAGCGGCGTTAAAGTAGAGAGATCTCAAAAGGGTAGATAAAGAGAAGAAACTCGACGATATGTATATACACAACTGCCTCGCCCGGCACATCGTGCATCACAGCTCCATCTGCGGCACTTCCGCACAGGAGAGGACGCTCCAAGAGAGATCCATCTTCGAAAAGGTGGAAACTCTGGAGCCTCCAAGCTAGGCTGCGCCATCCCGCAGGTGCAGTTATGGCCCGATAGAGTCTGCCGGGGAGCTGGTCCTTCGTCGACGCCGAGTCGGCGCTGGCGAATGGTAAGGCTTCCCGAGCCGCAATCCCCATCAAGAAAGAGGATAAGGTGGGAACCTTGCCCAGATGCTAAAGCCAGGCGCTGGCCTTGGGGCAGGGTGGAGGTCCGAGCAGGAAAAGTCCGTGATGTGGGAAAGGCAGGCAGAAGACATCGTGTGGAGATTCTGAGAAGCCGCCCGACCACCCATCAAGCCCGTCGTGTTCTGGTCCTGTCATATGAGGCCCATGGCCGCCCGAACAACAAGACGGCTGGCGGTCAGGCACGCCGCACTACGACGACGACGACGGCGGTCAACCTGAACCCTCGAGCCTCGAACCTTTCCCCCCTTTGACGTGCCCTTGCGCGGACCCGCAGAGAGCCCCATTGCTGTGGTTGCTGGGATCTCCCTCGGGCTCTCGCCGTGGATCGCATGAGTGATCGTCGAACACTGCCTCGAGCTTTGAGGGGTTGGAGTCTTGATAGAAAAAAAATCGTCTGAACATTCATGCTTGTCAAAGCTTTTCCCGTGTTTCCCACGAGAAAGCTGTCAAATAAGGTTACCCGTCGTCTGATGTTCTGGGGAATACACACATAACACGCACTTTAACTTTGGCCGCCTTGACGTAAACAACTGTGCAACTTGTCAGCATCATCCCGTCGGTGTCGTTCGTGTTGACGTTGACAACGTTGGGTCGCCCTGCCATGACCCTTGCAGGCAAAGAGAGGACCTCCTCCACGGCCAAGACCAGTGAGTAGATGAACGGAGAAGACCGAGCATTTCAGCGACGACAGCTGGGTCGGGTAGACGCCGACCAGTCAGCGTGGTCATGTTCGTCGTTGCTGGTCGCACGTATCCGTCCGCCTTGAAACACGCGTAGTTACTGCACAGATTCTTGAGGGACAATTTTGTGGTTTTTGGTGCTGTATTTCCTCGTATGGATAACGCCACATATTTCCCGAAGACCCAGATGGTGAGAGTTCGCGTCTTCGTATAAGGGTAGCGTGTTGGAAGATCAGCATGTGACGAAATAAAAGAGGGCACGGGATCGGCTCTCTAGATCGTCTGGGAACTCGATAGCGATGCAGATACGATGTCTGCGTGCCTGAGGAGTACCTGGGAAAGGGTTACTGCAACTCTGCAAGACCGGCACAGCCCTACGAAAGCTAGCCGCCGGTAATCTGCGTCGAAACATGGTTGGACGCTGCCTTATCTCTGAAGACGCACAAGAGTCTGCACAAAAATAGAAAGCCGTTCATCCGGTGTGGGAGGTACCCGCCAGGTTTGACCAGGTTGGGGAATAAGATGATAGGGAAGAAAAGAAAAATCTCCCCGAAGTTCTGGCGTAAAGTATAAAAAAAAAAAAAAAAAAAAAAAAGGCGTTGACGCAGGAACCCGGTCACTCCAGTGAGTGTTGTTGGAGAAGGGAAGAAGTTGGAAGGGAAGAGCCCAGTTGGCCGGATTCTGAAACGAGGAATACAGTGTGTCGATCCCGCCCAACTTGGCACTTTCACCCCTGCCTTTTTAGGATGTCGCTAAACCCTCCTGGGACGACGGCCAAGAGATCGTGGAGTCCCCCGGCTCCCCTTTTTCGCAAACCGTAATGTCTTTTTTGATTACATTAGAGCCTCTATGACTCGTATTCTTTACTTCTGCAAGCGCTGAATCGCTCCAACTTTTTCAAGTATACTTTGTATGCGTCGTCTCCTTTTCTTGGCCAAATATCCCCCGTAGCCTCACCATCTCAGGACAATGCAAAACGGATAGGACGGATGAACGTGCACATAAACATCGTATCCGCCCCATCTCCAGTACAAATCTCCAATGCACAATGCGTCGTCACTCGTCGTTGTTCAGACTTTGACGTCACACATTGGAGGCTCTGCCGTCTTCCCGTATGACTTACAACTCATCGCAGCGCTTCCACCGCATTCTATTTCCTGAGTGAACGTTCATCAACAACGCTATTGTGCCATCAAGATATTGATGGCTTGTGCCTCTGCCAACGAGGACTGGAGCTCGGCCCCAGAGCAATAAGTTTAAGCACTAATGGAACTATCATGAGGATTTCTCTCTTGAAACTTCGTGTTCACTAGCTTGCGGGCGCTATGAACGCTCCGGACCCGAACCCCGGAATGTCAAGCCACGAACAACGGGACGAGGCCGCGTGGGTAGTCGCAAGCTTACTTTCCACAGTCATTGCGACTGTAGATATCGCTGCTAGACTCGAATACCCCAACCAGGTGGGTCAAAATCACGAGTGCCTTCTCTTGAGGCCGTTGCCTCTTCCGGACCGGCAGCCTAGACCAGTAACCCGAAAGAGCTATATGGCAATTGCAAAATTTTGTTCAGCGTGCAAGAACAGCGAATTATGTTCTAGCTGATGAACTTTCCGCCCAGGTTCAGAAACAATGGGCATGGAATTAATTTCCGACGCAGAAACGCCCCGAAACTTTGCTGAATACGATCCTTGGAATATGCTGCCCAACACACCTGGATACGAGTTGGGAGTGGCCATCCAGGTGTCTTCTCATGGCTGCTCGTGTTGACGAAAAACAAATTCACCGATTCGTAGGCTCACCGGAGAAGCTTTGATATTGTTTCACCAGAGTCGCCGAGCAGAATTACTTTCCAAAAGCAGCTATTCCTCGTCACAGTACCCTGTAGGTTAGAAAAAGTGTTCACTAGCATCAAATCACGGATCGCTCGGGTCTTGCCCTTGCTCGGCAAGCTCTTTACCTGAGCTTCTCTTTCACAGCTCACGGAGCTGGATTCTGCTTTCCTGGCCCTCTCGGATAGTATCTTATATATATATATATAAATATCCCCCTTGTGGACGACGTTCCAAGTTTTGCTTAGTAGGCTATTTCAGACAAGCTAGAATGCCCTCGGGCTCTGACACCGTCGCAATGAGCTTGTCGAGTTTCCTGACTTGTGACGTCCTGCATCTGGATGACGGCAGTAGATTACTTTGTCAAGTAGTCCACGTTGACCAGTATGTATCTGGGTCCGTCCGCTGCCGTGGGGGTGATCTCTTCCATGAAATCCGTCCCGATCATGCTCCAAGGTTCAATGACAGAAAACTGAGGAGGAGGTAGTATTTTTAGTCTTGGGTCTACAGGCGGCATATACCCTAAACGACTTGATGTAGAGGTCTACGTCTTGCGTTCTCTTCGGCCAGAATACGACGATGGGTCGTGTGCAATAACCAAGATTGCCTCCAACAACCATTTTCTTATCCAAGCACCGGCAGTGAAAAACTTAATTCTTCCCCGCCTAGATTCTTCCGCAGTAACATATTGATCACAGAATATACTAGAGAAATGGAGTCGAAAGGAAGTGTGACCTTCTTATCTGAAAGCTGCCTCGTGATAGCATTATTCTTCTCACACCGTCGTTGACTAATCTGCGAAAGCTCCAATGCGAGAAAAAAATAGAGTTGAGAGAGCATAAGAAGATGCGAGATGGAAACTTGGCTCACCACCTGGATGATGCATGGAGATAGCCGACGATGAGTAACAAGCCGATGAATTTCAATAGGTCGACTACAGATATCCGAACTACTCAAGTCCTATATACGAGAGAGAAACTATGTGCCAAGGCATTCCTCTTAGGCCGTGAAGAACAAAGTCAAGAATTATTGACTGTCATATAAGCGCTCTGATTCTCCTGCATGGTGGTTGTAGATTTGGGCATCAATCGCTGCCACAACAGATGTATTCGTTTTGATAAGCCTGGCTCCAATCTCTGCTACTCAAGTCACAGTGGCTCGATTCAGGAAAAGTTAGGTGTGCAATATCTGTCCCCGTCCAAGGTGCCTGCTTCGCATGCCAGGCTACTTATGGTAGTAGGCAAAGGAGCTGTCAAGAGGAGGATCTATATACCACTGTTGGCAAGATTCTCATCTAAAAACCGCTGCCTGTTGAAAGCCTTTCCCATGCCAATCTAGCTCGCCCGTTCTCAAAGCATATATTTGCGGCTAATAGGGAAAACAGGAAAGGTCCAATTGGAACGAGACAGGTCGAAGTCTACCATTTCCAGGTAAGAGCCGAGGAGACCGCCGAGCCTGTCAAGAGAACTCCCAAAATGGTGGCAGGCGAGAAAACTCAGATCTAGAGAGTATAAAACCCGTCACATCAGCGCCCATCACGTCAGACAAGGCAAGGCATGCCTGCGGAAAATGTCGTATTGCATTGAAGCGGAGATGGTCGACGCAGAATTGCTACATCCTTTGTATCTGTCGAGGGTCCGTCGGCCTCATTCGTGAGCAATGCTACAAGAATCCTGTTGCCTCTACTTCCCAACTCATGGCCGACGCTCTTCCACAAATGTGTTCAGTAGAAGCATATTTTCCATGGAATACACCGCGGATACCGGATTCTGCACACGGCGAGGCAACTTTATCTGAAGCCGAACTTTTGAGTACGAGCGGTGGCCTCCAAGCCCTCCTTCAAGCTAATCGTGCAGCCATACCACAGAGGCGACACGATATAAGTGGACGCGAAACCAAGCGAGCCCGGCAGCCTGGTCGACGAAAACTCTCACTGAGCGCAAATCCGACCCGTTTCATATCAGTACATGGCTATATGACAGCGGTAGTCTCGAATGGTGTCCTACGTTCTACACAATAGAACTATTAACGAGATATATTCCTCGAGTTGAAGATTGTGAGTAGGATGACTCTCGAAAACGAACACGCTCACTTGAAGATGGAGCAAACAAGATAGATTCTCATGTGGAGAAGGATATTACTAGTGCCTTACACTCTGCAAATTATGAGTGTTGGCTCGTCATACGTCAAGGATGCGGGTTGAGAGAGTGGTCCAACATCAGTTCTAAACTACATTCCCACGTAAGGAGACTACTCATGGTGGTGAAAGTATGCTCCGTGGTACCATTCAGCTAGCTTAGCTTTTGGTATGGGAATCCCAGTACTTTACGAAGAGGCGGCCCCGAGAATAGTAAGCCAAATCCCCTCGTATAACTCCGCCGTAGAGCAAGTTGGGGAGAGATAAGCTCAAAGTGTACGGAGACGACTTCCTCCATGTGCACATACCGGAGAGCTTCAGGTTGCCCAAATTAGCTTCATACAGAACATCCTCGAGGACAACTTCGGTTCTTTTGGCTGAGACTCATCAGGAGCAAGCCCCCCCCCCCTCGTTCTGAACCTCAAGACCTACGCACAGAACGAAAGTCTGGTAGGAACCCTTTAGATCCCTCAAAAAACCTCACCAAATTGGACAGAGCGGACTACTGATCACAGTGCCTCGAAATGGGAAAACCAAGCAAAGACACCTCAAATGGTGACGCCAAATGGCCGTTTGTATCTTTTCATCATTACTGGGTATTGAAAACTCCTAAAAAAACCCCCAAGAGGTATCGTCATTAAAAGAAACAAACAAAAGGAACCTTCCACCACATCCTCCAACACCCCAAAACATCCGTCTTCGATCCCTCCCCCTTCCCTTAAGTTCCCCTTCACACAACCGAAGGTCGCGGCCCAGACGAAACCATAACATGTCCAACGCTCGACTGCCTAGACGCCTTCCTGCCAGAAGAGAACCTCTCAAAGAACCCAGCCGTGCCCGACTTCCTCCTCTCCCCGCTCGAGATGCTCGACCTATCCGAAACCTCGCGGACCGAATTGCTGTCGATGAAAGTCTGCGGGAAGATGCCCCAGACGCCCTTTGCGTTGGTGCCGGACCAGCACCAGTGATCTTGCCATGCCCCTAGAATTCTTGTGTGAGCAGACTGAAAATATCCCGTACGTCACCATGGAAACATTCTATCCAGGAAAGGGGAAAAGAAAGGAGGACGAGGGGGCGGAAAAAAAAGAAGACTCACAGCTGATGTTGGTTATCCTCTCCCCCTGATCAAATTTCAACCAGTCCCCGCCATCCTTCGGCCTCGGCGCAAACTTCCACCTCGCCACAGCAGAGATATTACTCGCCGTATCCGCACGAATCTCCCCCTTGGGCGGCGCCTCCAACTTCAACACATCCAGCGGCGCCGACCCAAAATTCCCCTCATGCCACCCCATCACCCACTCCCCATTATACTTTGCCGGAAACTCCACCCCGGTCAACCGCGCGCCATTGGCAAGCTCAAACCCAGGCGTGTTATCATACAACAGCCGCATCCCATACATCCTCTTGACAGTCTGCGTCGCCGTCGCCGTCGGCAGCTGCGCCAACTCGAGCTGCCGGCCCTCGATGCGCGAAGGGCGCGGCGGCGCGCGGAAGTGTAGGTCGTAGTTGTTGCGCAGGTGGAGCGGGACTTCCCCGCCGCCGGTGGTCTCTGATGTCTCTACGACTGTGATGCCGGGGACTTGCGGTAACGGTCGCGGGTGCCGGGCGAGGTGCTCAAAGAGCTTCTTTTGGCTGAAGAAGACTGTGGCGTCGCATTCTTCGAGGGTGTGTTGGGCGTGGACGCAGAAGACGCAGCCGTAGAGGAATTCGTCTGCGCGTTTCGTGGCGACGTGAGATTTTTGGAGGAAGCGGGGGCGGTAGGAGATTTTGTTGGAGTGGTGGTTTGCTTCCTCTGGGGGGATTTCGTTGTATTAGTAAAACTGTCCTACTAACATCAAAGATGGAGAGAGAGTTCAGTACGTACCAGCTTTGTTGACGTCGTTTTCAATCTGTTTGAAGTCGAGCTCGAACGAGCAGCTCGAGCACTTGGCGACCTCGTGGGCGCCAGAGAATCCCTTGTAACTAGAGTTAATCCATGTTTACTGCAAAAAAGAAAGGGGGTGGGGGAAACACTGGCGACTCACTGGTTTCTTAATCTTTTTAACACCAAGACCCCCGCGGGTAACCTCCTTGGCACCTTCGCAGAACCCCTTGTACAGATAAAACGAGCTGCTCAACCCGATATTACAGTCCTTTGGCCGAGACGAGACCTGAAAGGGCGGCTCCCTCCCCTGCGAAGTCGACGACTCCGACTCGACGGGGATCAGCCCCTCGCCGTCGCTTGTGATCAGGGGCACCCTCTCGATGCCCTCGTGGACGCCGGGTGGGAAGTTGGGCGGAATGATGGGCGGCCTCGACGTGGGGCTGAGCCGGCCCCCGTCGTGGGTCGAGGACGTGGAGGCGCGGTGCTCCGTCATGGAGGGGCTGATGGCGCCCGAGTTCCTCCTGCCGCCGTCGAATACGGAATCGTGGAGAGATTCTTGGGAGCGTTGCCGCGAGGCGTGCGAGTACATTGAGCTGGATTGCGAGTGCCGGTGCGGCCGCGGGGAGTGGCCGCCGTTCCGCGGGGACTGCGTCTGGTCTTCCGTGACAATACCTAGCGTTGTAGACGATGCTCGCCCGCGCGAAACGAGAGGGTGGCCCCTGTCCGTCATTGAGACCGGGGACCGCGTGAGGTCCTGCGGGCTCATCTGGTGATACCGATCTTCTTCCGAGAGGACGCGATCGTTGGGGATGTCGAGCCGGTCAAGCCGGTGATCGGAGCCGTGTGAGAGTCTGCTCACGGTTTTGGGGCTGCCTGGCTCAGAGATGGGAGAGCTCACGGAAATGGGTCGACGGCGCTCAATATTGACCCCGCCCATTGGCTCCTCCAGTCCCGTCTCGATCATGGGGCTTGGTCCTATACTCCACGGATTCGTCGGAGGAGGCGGTGGCGGCTGCTGCTCGATGACCTCCTCTCTGACTCTTGGCTCCGGCTCGGGCGGTGCGTGTTGCTCTTCGTGTGGCTGTACCTGGAAGTGATTTTGTCCCTCGTGGGATATGGTTAGACTTGTGTGGCCTTGATCTTGGGTCTCTATTGTCGAGAGAACCTTTGGTCAGCCATGATTTCCTGTCTCATGTTTGCATCCAGGGGGTAGTGGCTTCAATTACCGTGGGTAGCTGGTGGCGATGTTGCGATAATGGGAATGAGAGGCTGCTCCCGCGGCGCCGGCTCCAGCCTCATCCTCTTCAAGATCTCTCCGGTCCGGAGGCCGGCCCTCTTGCAGAGTTCCCGCAGCTCAACGTACTTTTCCTTTTCGAATGTTTCTGCATCGATTACGTCTTCAAAGTCCCAGATCATGTCAGTCATCTGTGACCTATACTCCGCGATCTCGTCTACACAAATAAAGATCAGTCAGTTGACAACTTCACCAGATGGAAAAAGTGAGAAGAAGAAGAAGAAGAAGAAGAAGAAGACGGAAACAATCATACTATCATCTTTGAGCGCATCTATAAAGTTGACACCAGACTCTTCCAAGTGGCGTAAGCACAGCGGCTCAATGATCTTGAGGATGCGCTCGGCGCCCTTGACCAGCTTCTGGCTCTCGGAGAGCATGTCCCGGTCGTCGCCCGCGTTCCCGAGCGCAACGGTCCCCTTCTCCACGACCTCCTGGAACGGCCCAGTCACCAAGTCCTTTACGACGTCCATGGTCGGCAAAGGGGGCCCGTCAAGTCCTACCAGGGGAGGTTGTAGTCGTTCTCGTCTCGGTCTCCTAGTGGGCGGCGGGGTTTAGGTGGAGTCGTCGGTTTGGTTTGGTTCAAGGTACACACGATGGGCTAAGCCAGCGCGACAAGTTGACAGAGGGTCATCCGAGTAGCAAGTTTGGATCTGAACTTGCGCAATCGCCAAGTGTTTTTGGGGGTTCACAATCACAGGAACTTTGGAGAATGGATATTGGCAGAAAATGTGATAGGAAGAAGAGGAGAAAAAGAGAGAGAGAAAGAGAGAGAGGAAATGCAAAGAGGACAACAGGAAAGGATAGGACAAGGCTGTAGAAAAGCTACTAAGCTGAGCTGAGCTTCGCTCAGAGTCACCAAGAAACCAGGGCCAGCTCCAGGCCGCAGGACAGATGAGCATGCATGGTGGCATGGTATGGCAAACAGGACGGGACGGGATGGGATTGGGGATGGGCGGCTGGCGGGCAAGGTAAGGTAGGCAGATGCAGGGCGCACCGCATGTCAGACTGGCCTCTCTCCTCTCTCTCTCTCTCTCTCTCTCTCCCGAGACACGAAGCGCACCTCTGGGCTGCCCATCTGTCTGTCACTCCAGAGATACCTACCTCGAGCGAGAGAGTGCGAGGGCAAAGAGTCACCGGTAGCCAACGGGCGTGGCTTGCTTCTCGGAACGCCGCCGCACTTCCAGTTCCAGTCAGGTCTTGAAAGTTGACAAGCAGGGCAAGGCGGTGCGGTGCGGTGCTGTTGCGCCCACCTTTGCAAGCGAATGCAGGTGAACCTCGCCCCGGTATCAGGCTAGTTTCTCGAGGGGATCGGCATGGCGGGCGATGAAAAGAGGTCAACATGTCTGCTGCATGTTCCAACGTGGAGGGGGGGGTGGAAGAGAAGCGCCAAAGGTGGAGGAGGAGGCGTTCTGGCGTTCTGGCGTCTTGGGCCCGAGGTAGGGCTGCTTAGCTGTCGCGACTAGCCTTTCGAACTTCCCCCAGGCAGACCCATTTGGCTTCATCGGCGTGGCACATTCCTGAAGCAGGCTCCGCGATTGGTGTTTCTCAAGCGAAAGGAATGTCGCGGGCGTGACGGAGCTTGCTGGGAGATATTGAGGGAAGAAATACGTTTGGTAGGGGAGGGGAGGGCAGGGGAGGGGAGGACGGTTGTAAGCGAACAACGTAGGTACCTACAGAGTCCACCAGGTGGGTACGTACATACTGAATAAGCAAGTACTTAAGGTAGGCTCATCAGATGAACGCTGCAGCCACGAGGTCCAGCACAGCTAGCGCAGAGGCGCAGCTCAATATTAAGCCCATCGACGTTCCCTGTTAAAGTAAAGAGGTTCTAACAAGCATTTGCATCATTGTACAAGACTACGCCCAGCTGTTTAAGCCTCCCGGTCTGCCTCGCCCGGTGCGTAGTTTGTTTTAAGTGGTCATCTGCCCACTCATTATGAGGTATTACTGAGTAAGTGAGATCAGGTCAGGAACGACTTGACGGCGACGGCACACCTTATCTCAGTCGGTCACCACATGCGGACACCGACGGGCCACATCACACCTGCTCCATCTTTCTTCACCGAACAAACAAACATTCAAAGGTTTGCCTCATTCTTATTTTGACCGAAATAAACGCCCGATTACACGCAGTAGATACCCCACAGCTCTTTTCGGAACACCCGATTAAAATATGTTCGCTAGCAATACACGCCAGAACAGGCATAACTCATATTCTCATCAATAAGGGGGTAGTGTGTGTGTGTGTGTGTGTGTGTGCTTTGTTTCTTATCCATCAGCCCGTCTCTTGATCAACCGTTGATGGCGACCTCTACGCCTTGGTTGAATTTCCAGTGATGCTCTGAGGATTCAATGTCAGAAGATAACACTAACAATTAAAGTGTACAGCGACTTACCTGAGAGATCAGGTTGCGGCCAATCTGGATGGTCTCGGCCATGCCGCGTTGGCGAAGCCAGAATCTGTACAGTCGTCAGCTCAAGTCTTCAACATCAAGGGCTACAACATCAACTTACGCTTCTTCGGCGCCTCCGTGGCCTTGCGTAGAGATCCTGCGGGCCTCATCCTCAAGAGCCTGCATGGTGATCATCTCCGTCTTCTCGATACCCGGAGTCGCGGCCTGATCCGAAACACCCTGGCCCAGGTTCTCCTCGAGCAGTCTCTTCTTCATCATGAACCGTTCCTTCTTCTCCCTCTGCAGGCCCGGGCTGTCCAGCTTCTTCATGACGAGGCGAACAACGAATTGCGCGCCAAAGTAGAAATGCTCCGAGAGGAGGATGCTGAGGAGAAGACCCCATGCCTGAATGCTTCCAGGGGTTCCGCGAGGTCCATCACCCTTGCCAGCAGATCTGCACAGGAACACGATTGAGGCGCTGGTGATGCTGCCCAACCAAGACAGAAATCCGAGGGCGTTGAGCCAGGGGCCGATCGAGTCGGCGCGCCACGGAATCGGCCGCCTGCTGCTAATGGCAATCTTGACAGCGTCCGATCTCATTTCGACCCAGTTGTTGACAAGGAAGCAGCAAGCAGTCAGAGGCCAGGCCACGGAGAAGAGTGATAGGTAACCGAACTGGATGACCATCTCTCGGTAGTCTCCGGTGACATCGTATGTCTCGAGCTCGGCTTCGTTCCTCACACGCTCCAAGAAGGCGGCCTCTTCCGGCTGGTCCTTGATTTTCGCGGCGCTGTCCTCCTTGGACATCTTGGACTGCACCTCTCTGACCTCCTGGAACACCTGACGCTTTACGTATGGCACAATGACCTCGGTAGCGAAGTTGACGACCTGGGCGGTGACGGTGAAGTAAAACATCTGCTTGCTAATTCTCTCGGGGTTGATGGAGAACTCCTGAGTCTGGAAGTTGACGTCTTTGGGTGTGATCTTCTGCGCAGTAGTCCGCCAGAAGTCGAGGTAAGGAGTGAGGTGGTCGCCAAAGGGCAGGTAGACAAAGGTGGTGAAGAACAGGGCCATGTAGGAGGTCAGGAAGTTGAGAACGAACTCCTTCTGAACCAAGGCCGCGTGGTGTGCGTCAATTGTTTCGTAGTTTTCCATCTCGGTCAATCTCGTCGCGAACTTGGTGAGCACGGTAGAAAAGGTGGGCGTCATGACTACCAGGATGACGGTTGGGAGGAAGGCCAAGTAGGATTGGAAAGGTCCGTTGTACACCTCGTTGATGAAGATTTCCAGCGAGTTGCAGGTGACAATGAGGGTGCCGAGCACCACGATACATGCTGCCGCGAACGGGATCTGGAGAAGCTGCGTCTGCAAGCGCTTAATGGGCGAGTAAATCTTGACGGGCTCTCCAGTAATGGGATCCTCGGCCTGGCGCTCGAACTCGAACTGCGGCCGGGGGTGCTGGATGTTGGAGACGCCGCGGACGCCCCACTGCACGGCGAGGTCGACTTCCCTCTGCTTCCAGAATTCGAAGAAGATGACGGACCACAGGCAACTGACCAGAGCGTAGAGCCAGGAGAACTGGCCAAGGAACATCCAAGCACCAAAGCCGACGGCGGCGGGGACGGTGAGAAACTTGAAGTAGGTCTGCATGAAGGCGAAGTAGAATGCGACGCTCTCGCCGAACTTATCGCGAATCTCGTCGAGGTCATTCTCGTCCGTCTGGCCCTTTGTGCTCACCCTCTTGATCCACTGGCGGTTGAAGGAGTGGTTATGGAGGGGGAAGATGCTGGCGACATGCTTCCACTTGCCGGACTCGGGGGTGATACCGGCTCCGCCCTCGTTCTTGGGCTTCACCATGAGCAGGTAGACGAGGCGGAGGCGCTCGGCGTCGGAGACAGGCTCATCGCGGAGGGCCTGGGAGAGGTCCTTGTCCGCGGTGTTGGTTCTAGCGCCCTGTAGCCAGTCCTGGAGTCTGGATCGGTAGACTTGGTCGGCGAGGAACTTGTCGGCGATCTTGATGAAGACCAGGACGGAGCTCTTGTCGCCTCTCCGGACCTCGGTGGTCAGGCCAACGTGGGTCAGAGCCTCGATAAGTTGGACGAAGGAAGCTTCGGCGCTGGCGCGGTCTGAGTAGGTGTTGGTCAGTTTAGGCTCGAGACATGGAGGTAAAAGGGGGCTCACCCTCTGACGGGATCTTGTAATTGATGACATAGTCGACGCCAAAGTTGGTGTCTAGACCCTTGGTCTTCTCATCGCTGTACAGGTCGCGAAGACTCGCCATGGCTGCTGCGGGCCGCGAGTTCGTCCCAAAAAGATCAGTCGGCGGGAGCTCAAGCACGGATGTCGTGTATGCGGGTGCAGCTTGTAAGGAAGACGTAGGTAGAGGTAAGATGCACTCTTGAGACAAGGTATGTGAGCTATCCAAATGCTCGAGAGTGACGGGATCACGATAAGAGGGATGTAAGTAAGGTAGTAGGGGTCGCGATGGTCTTAAAGCCAAGTGGGAGAATTGTAGCCAAGTGGCTGAAAGTAATGACGGTGATGTCTCGCTTGGCAGGTTTTTTTAGATGAACCGGCCGGGAGAGAAGGAGAGAGAGAGAGGAGCTTGGGCGTTTGGCTGGCGGGATTGAGGGAACCGTCACGTCACCGCGCAGGGCCTCGACTTGGACGGGAAGCTTTTTTTTCAGGGAACAAGCTCCAGCCCCTCAATGCCTCCAGTTGCCCGCCAGTCGATCCCCACCACCGCTACGCCAAACACGGATTGGCGCTGCCGTGTCGCTGGGAAATGTCGTCTACGGAGTACGTAGTACTTCCCACCTTGAGGTACCTAAGGTAAGGTAAGGTAGCACTCATCACTAAAACACTGTTGCAGTGACAATGGTGGTGCGTGGCTCGTGCTACCCTGGCCACCCCCCCTCCACCACTACCTTCTCCGTAACCCCCCCCAGCATAGCTGAACCGCCGCCGTGCCAGCTGCCGGCCGGCCCACCTCTGAACGTCCCCTGAACCACTGGCAATGACCCCCGTGGCATGTCATTGGATTGCACAAGTGCTGGCTGGTGCTGTCATCGGTGGGGTTTCAGCTGCAAGCTGCTTGGAGCTCTCTCTGCTCCCGGCCCCCATGTGAAGATCCGTCCGGCCAACCAACCTCAACACCACTCCAGAGTTCAACCTCATCTCACCTCAATTCACATCACCAATCTCACTCACCTCACACAGCAGCTCACATGGAAGTCGTATAACCCCAAAGACCCTCCATCCGACACCCCACTCACAGGGACACCGACGGACACAACCTCCAAATGACTTTCCTAACGGCCCTCGGCCTCCGCCGCAAAAACCCCTGGGAACCCCTAACCCTCATCGACGCCCTCCTCCTCTCACCCCTCAACCTTCTCGTCACAATCATCTACAGCATCATCCTCTTCCTCCGCGGCCGCCCCTTCACCCCGCCCCGCGACAAGCCCGCCATCCGCATCGTCTGCCTCTCCGACACCCACGACCGCACCGACGTCGACATCCCCCCGGGCGACCTCCTCATCCACGCCGGCGACCTCACCAACGCCGGCACCGTCGCCGACATCCAAGCCCAGCTCGACTGGCTCGCCGCACAACCCCACCAACACAAGATCCTCGTCTGCGGCAACCACGACAGCTTCTTCGATCCCAGCGCCCGTCTGCCCGAGGACCGTGGTAAGAGCCTCGACTTCAAGGGGATCCGCTATCTCATCCGCGATGCCGTCACGCTCGAGTTCAAGGGCGGTCGCCATCTAAAGATTTACGGCGCCCCTGATATTCCGACTTGCGGCGGCTCAGAGATGGCTTTCCAGTATGATCGTTCATCACCGCCCTGGACCAACACCGTACCAATCGACACTGACATTTTGATCACTCACACACCACCAGTAAGTCCAAATCTCATTTCAATCTCATCTCAATCTCATCTCATCCCATCTCACTTCATTCTCATTCACCCCCCTCCCCCTCCCCCCTTCAAAACCCACTCATCTAATTAACACGCGCCACCAAGAAAACCCACCTAGACCTAAACCTAGGCTGCCCAGCCCTCCTCCAAGAAGTCTGGCGCGTCCGCCCCAAACTCCACGTCTTCGGCCACGTCCACTGGGGCCACGGCCGCCAAACAGTGCACTTTGACGACTGCCAGCGCGCCTACGAGGCCCTCATGTCCCGCCCGCCCCGCGGCCTCTTTCGCGACCTCTTTCCCCACGCCGGCTGGCGGGACGCCCTCGCCGTCCTTGGTTACGGCATCCACGGCGTCGTCTGGAAGTGGCTCATGGTCGGGCCCGGCGGCAACACCAGCAGTCTCATGGTCAACGCTGCGCAAATGTACGGCAACACGGGGCGGCTGGGGAACCCGGTGGAAGTGGTGGACTTGTAATAGAAAAAAGCGTAAGATTATGACTTGGAATAATGAGGATGTTTTTGTATAACAACTACGTATAATGTTAGAAGGCAGTGCGCCCGTTGCGCTGGTGTGGTATCATGGCGATGTCTATGCTAATGAACGTGTGGTGAATGAAACAAAGCAAGGAAAGGACCAAAAGAGGAAAGATGAGGTGGAAAAAGAGAGACCAAATGCGCCGCCACTATGCACCAGGAACCAGCCCCCTTGGACACAATTAATCCCCTTTTCATCAGAAAAACATCAACGCGAACCGCACAACCGCAATAGCAACCCCCAACCCAACAGCCCACCCAAAGTTCACCTCCGCCACGGACGTCGCTGCACTAACAGACACCATGGACGGAGTGGGTCTCCCCGTCGCAGGCGGAGGAGTCGCCGCCGCACCAGTCACAGATCCACCGCCGGCCCCAATGGGCCAATACCCCGTCGCCGTCCCCGCTCCGGTCCCGGGCAACGCAACCACGAAAAACGGCACCGTAAGCGTAGCCTTATCCGCGCCGTCGGCACCACACCCAGCGCACGAAGCCACCGTCGTCGTCATCGGCACGCTCACGGCCGCGGGCATCCCATCACCGCAGTATTTATCGCACCCCGGCACCAGGATCGTGGTACAGTGCTCCGCGGCCGTCAGGCGCGCCGCGTCGGTCGCGCAGACGGTGGTGTAGGTTACCGTCGTCACGAGCGTCGAGGTGGAAGGGACGTGGGGTTCCGGGTCGCCTAGGGGCGGGGCGTTGGGTGGTACTTCGTCTGTGAGGCGGCCGTAGACTGTCAGGAGGTAGGTTGAGGGCGCGGCGCGGCGGTGGAGGTGTAGGTGCATGAGCGCGCGGCTACGGTGAGGGTTTGAGGAGGAAAAGGATGGTGGTAAGACGGCGGCGTCTCGCTTTTTGGAGGGGGACGTTGCGGTGGTGCCGCCGCAGAGTTGGGTGTTGTTTCCTGGGCAGGGGCTGTTGCAGAGGGCGCGGTCTGTCGTTGCTCTGGTGTCTGGGTCGAGGTCGTCTGCGCAGAAGCATTCGCTGAGAGGGTGTGTGTTAGTGACAGGAACAGAAGAAGAGGAGGAAAGAGAAAGCGTTACCTTTCGCGTACACCGGCGTATTTCCCGGGCCTGCAGAGATCAATACACTTGCCCAGCGTCATATCCGCCGCCGAGGCCTTTAACAAAAAGCTCTGGAACCCTGTCCCGGAGCCGAAGCAGCCGAGGTACGCGTACTCCCCGATCGTCGCCGGCTCGCGCTCCGGGACCAGGGGGTCTGTCGAGGGGCTTGGAGGTGCCGTGGCGGTCGGTCCCACGACGGTGGACAGGACGACGGACGATACCTGGGACTGCACTGTGGCGGTGGAGACGATGACGGTGCCGTTGTGCGTGATGCTCGTCACGATGGTGGCCGGGTTCGGGACCGTGGTGTAGATTGTCGACGTGAACGCGATCGTTGTCGTCGTTGTCGGTTCGGACGGGCTGGCGGTGGTGTTTGTGACGAGGCCTTGTTCGTAGACATCGATGTAGTTTACCTCCCAGTACCTTTTTCCCCCTCTTCCCGTCAGATTTCCAGAAGTATGCTCTAGGAGGTTCGATGACTTACGCGTTTGCGAATGCGGTAGGGTTGTTCGCCACGTACTCAACGCACGTTGGCGCCCGCTGGTTACATGTATCCCCGTCCTTGCCCCAGATGTTGGCAGCATAATCACCGCAAAAGTTCTACACACATGTCTCGCGGGTTAGCAGACGTAACTTGCAAATATCCCCTACGCAACTTCGCGGAAAAGAAACATACCGTCTGAATCACAATACTCATATCCTTAAAGTACGTATCCACATCACACGTCGACGTCCCAAACAGCGCAGACGGTAATCCCCAACCAGACGGATCCGGGTTCTTGGCGACGATATCATCCGGGATACTCTGCCGCGGCCAGTGCCAGATGCTAATGGCCTCCGAGGTCCACTCGAGCGCGTAGACGCCGCCGCCGACGGCGTTGAAGGCGTCTCCGTAGGTGTGCGTGTCCGAGGCGGGGGGCAGGTAGTTGCAGCCGGCATTGTTGGTGGTCTAGTTTGTTTCGTTTGTGGTCAGCGAGAGAGAAATACAATCGTATCACGGAGATACGAAGATGGGACAGTGCTTTGTTGAGGAGATTACGTACACCTGGACTTTCGCAGTCGAGGAGAACAGGTTTGCCGGCGGCTGCGGGAGAATCTGGAATACGGCATCCTGATGTACTAGGTCGTGTTAGACCCGAGCTTCGAGATGGTAGGGCTACGAGAGGAGACTCACGAGTGTCCGGAAATAATGTTCTTCGTGGCTTGGTTCGCGCCCTCGATGATATCAATTTCACCACTAGTAGGCCAGTCCGGCCCATACATCCAGACTATCCAATCCAATGTCAGCTAATGAGCCAAGAAGTAAATCGCTACCCGTTCAGCGGGTCTGAATTCCCTCAAAATTCGAAGAGATGAACAACCAGGAGAGAACGTCTGACTTACACGCAGGCCACAACCCACAAACCGACGGCGGCATGTGTGCGAAATCTCCGATAAACAACCCATGATTATACTGCCTCTTGCTCTCCAGCCTCAGACTTGGCCGTCCGTCACTGAGGCCGAACGTATTCTTGTTGTCCACGCCCAGCGTCACGGCCTGCGTGTCCGGGTCGATGAAGTAGAGGCCCTTTGCGAGGGCGTCAGGCTGGCTCTGATACCTGTTTTTGTTCACATACTTGCGGTCAGTTCATCTACATCCAACTCTATTCAACAATAACGGGACTTGAGACCGATCTCTGTTAATGAGGGCAAAAGACGTACCTTACGAAGCCGTTGGATGGGTCGGCATAGTTGATAAAGTTGAAGTCTGAAATCAGGTTCGCGCCGAAGTACGACTGTGATAAGCTGTACGCCATCTTGGCTTCTCTTTCTCTTTCTCTCCTACAATTCCTTTACACCTTTCTTCGTGTCTTCTTGAGCCTTTGTTGTCTTTTTGTCGCGTTACCGGATTGAAGAGTGTATATAAGCGACCACTCTGTAACAACTTGAATAGAGCGAGCGAGAGAGAGAGAGAGATGGGGTGCGTCAGTGATTAATGATCGGAAACCGATGGGCACACACACACAACGAGAGACTCTGGTTGATTCAGATAGACAGAGAGAGAAAGAGGGAAGGAGAGGGAAAACGCCACGACTCAGTTTCGATGATCGGAACAGAAACCAAAAAAATGTCATGAGATTCTTCTGAGAAGGGGTGTAGTTTCTTTATAACCCTTTGCTCATCGGAATTATCCCTTGCGACTGATCCAGGTACACAGCTATCACCAGAGAAAAAGGCGCGAAACCTCAACGACTGGATGGCAACTCGTGAGCCGAGTCTGAACCCTCCTCCACAGGAGAACCACACCACCATCATCGCAGCCCTCACATCCGGCGAGGAATGCCACTGCTATACCGCCCGTCTGGCCAAGGACTTGTCCAAAAGACCAAGCCTCGGGAGATCTCGAGTTCCATCTCCCTCCCAGCCTCCTCCTCAAGCAGACCCGTTTTTTTTTTTAAAAAAAAAAAACTATTTTTTTTAAAAAAAAAAAGTGACGTTTGCTTCTCCAAAAAGCGTAGCTGCTCAAACGGGCGAGCGAGTCCTATACCTATTCGGAAAAAGACACAGAACCAAAAAAGGACAAGAAGCTAGACCAGTCTGGTGGGAAAAGGACAGAGAATCCAATACCAGACAATCCATTTCGACAAAACACCAACCACACAAGATCCACCCCCGAAAGAGAAACGCAAAAAAAGCGAGGATTCTACGAGTGAGAAGGGAAGATGAAGGAATGCGAGCATCGCTAGCTTCAGTCAAAAAGCTGCCTTCCTCCCCATCCGTAAAAACCTCCGAGCGGTGGCAGACTCTGTAGACCGAGACATCCTGACGGCGAGACAGGAGGTGCCGCCCAGGCAGAAGAAGTGGAAGCAAAACCCGTCCAAAGAAAAGAAGTCCAACCAACGGTGGATTGAAAAAAAACGTGAAACCCAATAGAGAACATGTATCGAATGCCAGATGATGAAGAAAGGGATCGAGGGGGGCGTGGGGACCACCACCGCCCCGATGTGAGACATCATCCCCTCCATTCCAATCGGTGGAGGTATCCAAAGTCCCGCATTCTTCAAGCCCGACCCTTACTTCCACCGGGTTTCCACCTCCGAGTTTCTCAGAGCCAGAAGAGAAAAAAAAAGAAAAAAAGAAAAGAAACACGGACGCTCTAGATCATGAGTGGGTATATTATTCATATGATGTATATGGCACACGGGTAACAAAAAAAAAGACAAACTTCGTGACCCAAACGCCGTGGCCTTTTTCGGCTCATGCCCACCACCTTTAAGCAATCCCTCCCATCAATGCTCCCCGACTTTTTCTCGTTGACATACATGTCCGTACTACTGACCCCCAAATGCCCTCCCGATAGCTGTACTAGTCCTACACCATGATCCTCCTCAGCCCCTCCGTGCCTCCCAGGACGCGTCGGCCAGTGACCGCACACCGCCCCTGTCCGCTCTCCCACTTGCCCTCCTTGTCCCCCATGAAGTTCTCCTGCATGGGATGTAAACCCTCCACCCACCGGTGAATACACGTGTAGCAATATACAATACCCGTCTGACACGCCGTCGGCGTGACAATCGGATCCTCGCAAATAGGGCACAACGCAGAGTCCTCAGGCGCAGTCACCGTATAAATAGGCAACAACGAAGGCGTCGCAATAGGCGCCGTCTCAGCCGCCGGAACAGCCGCGTCCGCTGACTCGTCGTCGCCACTAGCCGCCTTCTCCTTGCCCTTGCCCGTCTCGGCGCCGCTCTTAGCAGCGCCCGCTCTTCCAGCTCCTCCCTTGCCGGTCCCCAAGCCCGAGACCACAGGGGGTGGGAGGTCCAGCGTCTCGGACGCCTTGCGCGACAGCTGCTTAGCAAAGTCCGACGCGTGCCACCACTCGAGAAACTTGAGCGCAAAGATGCTCATGGGCAGCAGCAACGACAGGCTGGAGAGCACGCGCGGGCCCATCTCGCGCGGGGAGAAGAGGGATCTCCACCCGGGCGGCTTGCCGGTCGCCTTGCCGCCGCCGCCGCTTGTGAGGGCGTCAATGGCCTGGTAATCGGCGCCCGTCATCCTCCTCATGCGGGTGCCGATGAGCCACAGGAACGGGTTGTGGTACTTGCTGTTGTCAAACAGATAGGCCAGGTTGAAGGACAGCAGCGCAAAATAGTAGGCCGCGTTGACGCTCGGGTAAATGTTGCGCAGGAACCAGCGGTAGTAGTGCAGGAAGCGCTGCTTCAGCGTCGGGTTGGGAGGCATCTGGGTGTAGGCGGCGCCGAGAAGCGCCCGCGGCGCGTTCACCTCGTACCCTTCGTCGAGCTTCCTCTGCAGGTAAGGAACGCCGACGGCGACGGCGAGGTTCATCCATATGTCTCTCGTGCCGAGCTTGAGTGTGTCCCGGACGACGGCAGGCGCGGAGGCGCTGGCGCGCGGGATCTCGGCGTGCAGGGCCTTTTCGCGCTTCAGGCCGTAAAAGTTCTCGGTGAAGCTACCGCCGCGGGTCTTTAGGTAGTGGCGCTCGACGAGGAGCATGAGCAGGGCGTAGAGCTCATCGAAGGAGTTGAGGGCGCGCAGAAGGTAGCGCGGGTATCGTTGGGTGGCGACGGTGAGGAGGTATCGGATGGTGGGCGGGAGGAGGGAATTGAGCTGCTGTTCGGAAATGAGCTCGAAGAGGGAGGGTTTCTGGTCGTCGAAGGAGCCCCGGAGGGCGGTCATGAACTCCATGGTGGGCGAGGGCGGGCGGGCATCGAGGTTGTTGTGATGGCGATCCCCTCAATGGTTTCTGTTGCGGGTACGCGGATGTGAGGGAGGGGAGAGAGATGCGGGTTATCTGGGCATAGCGATGACGGATCAGGTGTGTCGGGTGGGTTGGTGATATTAATGGAAGTCTGCTGGTTGGTTATCTTATCGTCGGCGGATGGTTTGTCAGAAGTTGGAGGTTGAACGTACCGAAGGAGTTTGCCGAGGCAGTTCCACTAGCGTCCCGAGGGACCAAGAACCCGGGGAAGCCAGCGGGGCCATCTGCTGTGGAAAGGGTACCTTTTCTGAAGTACCCATTCGAACCCCCGACCGACGACCAAACTCAATTGAATCACAGCATCAACAACTCAATCAGTCTGATTTTAGACGGGTAGCTGGCTTATAGATTGCCTGTATATTCATTTGTAGCCTTCTGGTTATAATTCGTGACATAAGACTCCATCGATTACCTCACTTGATTTATCCTTCTTCTATTGGATAGAGCCAGACTCAACTCACTATCAGCGTCAAGCAACACTCACTTGCTCGTCTCACTCTCACTCTCACCCCAAAATTCACACGACGGCACTTTGTTCATCATGGGCATCCCACCTCAGTTCAAGTCCGTCTTCGAAGCCAAGGCAGGCGGAGAGCGCATACAAGCCTGGCTCAACCTCGACAAGGACGACGCAGGCAACTTCAAGTTCGGCGTATGTCCCCTTACCTCTCTTCTCATCATATCTCACTTCCAAGTAAACACACACCCACAATCAACCACCTAGCTAACATGAGACTTCAAAACCCCAAGAACTGGATGGGCGCCCTCATCCCCTCAATCACCCTCCTCTCAACCTCCCTCACGCCCACCCCGCGCGCCACCTTCTCCTTCACCGTCCTCCCGGAGCACTGCAACCGCGCCGGCAACCTCCACGGCGGCGCCGCCGCCACCCTCTTCGACTCCCTCACCACCTTGCCCTTGGCCCTCGTCAATGATAAACCGGGCTACTGGCAGTTCCTCGGCGTCTCCCGTACCATCAACTGCAGCTACCTCCGACCCGCGCCCAACGGCGAAGAGTGCCTCGTCGAGTGCGAGATTGTCCAGATTGGCCGGACGCTGTGCCAGCTCAGGGGTACCCTCAAGAGGCGGAGCGATGGGGTGGTGTTGGCTACGTGTGAGCATCACAAGTTCAATACTGATCCTGTGAGCAAGTTATGATTGGGGAAAACCTTGTTCATTCTTTTCTGGAGGAGTGCGAATGTAGGAGTATGGATGAGTGAAAATATACGGCATCTATTACCAACGCGGTATATGTACAGTTGTAGAAATTACACACAAGCTAGAACAAAATACGTCAAGCCAAATGACCAGATACCCTAAACACCACACCCCTATCTCACTGCTCTATAAGATGATGCCCATTTAACACGAGATCCATAATCTCGAGATCTGGCGCCGCCAACGCTGCTATATCCTCCACCAGCTCCTCGTCATCAATGTCCCCATCATCATCATCGTCCTCCCCCCACTCTCCAACCACAAAGTCCTCATCATCATCCTCGTTGCTGGCCAGCTCCGCGTCAAAGTCCATGATGGGCAGGAAATCGTGAATGTCAATCTTCTTGTCGTCGCCGTCCTTGGGGCCCGGAGCCCGGTCGGAGACCTTGAAGTAGGCGCTGGGTCCGCAGGGGCCGTGGGGGTCGAAGTCTCTGTAGAGGTCTCTCAGATTAGCATAGACCCTCCTCTCGCTCCGCGTTGTCTTCCTCCATGCATAGATACTAAATGTAGGGAAGAAGGGGGGGAGTGCAACGTACGTATCGAACCAGTGTCCCATGACACCGCGAGCCGACCCGACACCACCAATCTGGATCCCCTCGCTCCGCCACCGCGCGTGGCCGTTGAAGACGGAGAACGTCGTCCACCTCACCTCGCCCTCCTTAGTCATCCGGACCGTGCCTTTGATAGCTAATCAGAATCAGTTGAAACCAGCAAAATCACACAAAAAGCAAGAAAGAAAAGAAAAAGAAAAACGTACCACGAAGTTGAGAATGCGCATTATCATCCCACGAATCATCAACAGACCTTGACAACCCATGAAAATGCACAACAGGCAACTCCTTCCCGTCCTCCTCCCCCGGCGGCTGCACATCAACAACATGCATCTTCATCAAGATAATCCTCGTCGCCTCCCCGACATCAAGCGGCGGCCGCTGCACCTCAACAGGCGGCACCGCCTCCCCAACAGGGAAATTATAATGAAAAAAGTCATTATAATCAATGAAACAGACAACCCTTAACCACGTCCCCGCAACGCCATACGGATCCTCCAAATCCGAATCCCGAATGCCCCTGCCCGGCGAGGGGACATAACTCCCCGACCACGACCCCGCAAACGGCTTCTCCCACAGGTTGGAAAACACTTTGGCCGTAAGGCGCTGCGACTTGATGTTGCTGCCCAGCACGATCATGATGGCCTCCATCTTTTCCCAGTCTACCCTGCCGGAATCGTCGTCCCGAAAGGGACCCCATTTCGTCCGCGTCGTGTACTGCCGCATGTCGTAGACTCTGCACGCGGCGTAGGGATAGACCCGCGACGACCGCGTGCGGCCAAAGTTGAAGATGGGGCGGCCGTAGAGGCAGTGGAGCTTTGCGCTCTGCTGGTGGAGGTCGTCGGCGGCGTTTGGGTTCGTGCGGGAGGCGGAGGCGGGGGCGGAGGCAGAGGAGGAGGAAAAGGAGGATGCCGAAGATGATGACGACTGCGGACGGCGAGTGCTCGTGCTCGTCGAGCGTGCTATATCGCCGCGCGCGCGGTCAAAGATGGAGGAGCGGCAGAGGAAGGCCACCCGCGCGGGTTCGTCGCGGAAGATGTTGGCTAGGGCGGCGGCGTTGCGGGAGACGGCGTGGGTGCCTGTGTCGTTTTGCGTCTCGCCTGTTGGGGAGGCATGTTGTAGCAGCCTGTTGACAACATCGGATACGAATGGGAGATCGTCGCGGGACTGGGCAGGGGGTGCGGATGAGAATTGGGAGCTCGTACTTTCAAGTGTTCTACCCTCATGACGGGAGAGCGGCCAAGGGGGGGGGTTCTCTCTTACCTTTTCGTTGACACTGTCACTGGCGCAAACGCGACCGAGTCTCACGAAATCGTGCAGTTCCCTCTCCCAATCCAATCCATTCTGCTTAGGTGTATCCTGTTTGTGAAATTACGAATTAGACCATATTCCCCTTCAATACAGCCTAAGGCAAGGTGAATAGTGGGGAGATTTCGTACAAGAGCATTCAGATAGACGTCCTTGCAAAGTTTCTGGTTCCCCTTCACGTAGGAGTGCAAGAATCGGCATGTGCGGGGCAGACGTCCGAGGTCGCGGGGCTCGAGGCCCGAAAAGATGTGATGGAGGATCTCTGCCGGGAGCAAACTGATATGCAGCAGCAGCTGCTGCGGCGGTGGCGGCGACATCTTGGGCGACGACGCCCCTTCGGCTACACCCATGTGGCAGTGACCGCGGGGTTGATGCTTATCGGGCGGCGGCGGTTGTAGTCTTTCGATGCGCGTTCACGGTTTTTAAGAAAGGTGAAGTACCGTTCACGAGGGGCGAGATGTGTTGGGGAACAAGGTGTGAACGAGGGGTCTACTAGTCACGATGAGAGGGAACGTTTCCTTGGAGTAAGGTAGGTAATGAAGGTGGGAAGAATGGAATAAGGTCAGGCAAGGCAAGGTAGACAGCGGAACGGAAGCTTAAACTTACGTTGTCTATCCGGTTGGTCAACCGCCACGAAAACCTCCCACGCGGGACCTGGACCAAATGCAGCGTTCGTGCGGGGATGGCTGTGTACAGGGAACCTACCTATCCCAACCTCAGGGCGGGCGGGCGGGCGTGTGTGGGTACCGCCTGCGATCCGTGAAGCTTTGGAGAATCCCCGGAGGTTAGGGTGTGTAAGCTCCGGCGTATCAGCGCAGTGGAGAATGACGGGCACTGTGTGTTGGGTAAACTTATGCCTTTGAGATGGTTCGCAGATTCCCGACCAAGGCTCTCAGCCGCCCACGGTTCACTACCTATTGATCTCTCGTAACACAACAGTTCCTCGGTTTTCCCGACTGTGCCGTCCCCCAAATTGTTCTCTTTGGCCAGATGCCCCTCTCTTGAAGCCATGTCTGCAAGTCACTTGAGTCAGTATAAGTCATCATGACGTAAGGTACCTAAGGTAAAGAAGATCACTAATAACCATCCTTACCTAAGGTAAGGCATGGCAAGGTACCTTGGCAGATGGCGCTACCGGATTCGTAGCCCCGCACACCGGAGCCGAAAAGTGGACCCATCCGGCTCCGGGCCCGGAGGCCTACCTGCCTTAATGTCGAGAGCAAACGAAGGCGGAGCACAAGGTCCACAGTTCCAACTCATGAATATCGCCGGATGTCCTTGCTTGGCAGACCGCTATCTTCACTGCATCAGGGATCAAAGTCATTCCACGGCGCAGAGAACAGCAATCGGCAATTCCCGTACATGGCCTCGTCCCCAAGAGAGAAAAGATGACAGGGACACCCGATGCACGCCCTTATGCTCCAATAGCAGCCTAGACTCCTGCCCACGCCCCGTCTACAGAGACCACATCATTCGTGAGGGACCTGAATCCTAGGTGCCCGGATTGCCTAATCAATGGAGAGAGATCCCCCCCTCTTGGCAAACACTCCAGACCAAGGTTTCTTCCACTGACTTGGACTCGGATAGGTGGGATTTCTAATGCCTCGGACACCTCACGTTCCGTCCCCACCTACGTCGTTTCCTCCTTGTGTGACGGAGCCGTCTGCCGCAGCTGGAAAAAGATGGCGTTCACAGATGTCAATGCTTATATTATAGTAGAACATGAAATGTGATCAGGTAAGAATAGTTATCAATGTACTCTCTCCGAGACCCTACTTTTTTCCGTCTCAGCGCTAATGCTGCCGTGTCACGAAGAATCCATCGCGCTGCGGTAAGGCGCGCGCATCAGAGGGGTATAGATACAGTACAACACACACAAAAAGAAAAATGCTCAAGCGTAATGTCCACGTTGGCTCTCAGTTGTTCGAACTTGTCGTCTGAGGCCTTAATCCTCCCATCATGTAATCGCAAGAAGTGGTATAATATTTCAAAGTCAATCCCCCAGTCGTCAATATGTCGTGCCATTACCATGTGTATATCCTAGTAAAAATGGCTCGAATGCAGTTTGGTCGTCATCTCGCAACTCGCCAATTACATCGTGGTAGCCCCAGCGTTCAGCTGGAGACAGTTGCTGAGCAGATTGGCGCCCTCATGCAACAGCTCCCACCGGGTGGTTTCGAATGAGTCCTTAAGCACTAGCAGCATCGCGGTGTTTTCATTGATGCCCTTCATCGCCTTGAGCTCGTCTGGCGAGGACGCGCCGCCGTATTTTAAGAGATACTCTCGCATTTGTCGTACCTGTTCCTGCTTGGATGTCGGGAGCGGGACTTCAGGACAGGGGCCTTCTAGGGCGAATCCATAACACCATACGACAAGGGCAGCAAAATACAGAACCCAAGGCCTGTTGAGCAGTACGTCGTCTCGTGCAGTGTACGGCTCATCGTACTTGAAGCCATTGGGTTGATGCGGATGGCCACCATCGGGTATGAGAACAGAGCTGATGAACTTGAGGGCATAAAAGGTCGCGTCGCGGGCCTTGGCGGTTGGCGCCCAAATGTCCTTCATCCTCCGTTGAGCACTGTTGAGATCTTGCTGCCCAATAGCTCGTCCAAGAAGCCGCTTTGCCCTAGCAAAGATTTGGCAGTCGACAATGTCAACGTGCATCGCCATATGAGCAAGATGATGCAGTACGGTGCGGCTCTCAAACACGACGTTGGCGTCATTCTTCTTCGCCGAGTCAAAGCGGTAAGGGTCAGAAGAGCCTTCTGTCCTTGTGAGGGACTTGTCGAAATCCTCCTTCCAAGCGTCAAAGGCCCTGGTGAGTGTTCCCCGCCATTTGTCTCTGCCGCCCAGTGCCTGAGACACGCCGCCGCCAAGAACGTTGACCTGAAGATCTCTTTGATTCATGTGCCAGCTAACACTGAGAAGGCCAGCCATGAGAACCATACGACCGAAGGGATTGGTCTGTACGCCCTGGCCACTGAGGGTTCGTTTCAGACCCTCTAGGAAAGAGATCGGCTTGACACCGTTGGACAGCAGATTGGACTCAACTCTGCCGACTTCTGCACCGCTCGTAGCCTTCCACAAGGCCTCATCGCAGGGCAGAGGCAACCTCATTTCATGCGTGACCATGACTGTAGAATGGCCAAACATGGTAGCGTGGATGGAGTCAATGACAAAAGCAGCAAACGCAGCTCGTCGTGTCGACTCATTGGTGATCCAGTGATTCCACCACTCGTCTGCGGTGTGGGCCACGCCGGATGCCGAGGAATGGCGCGAGCTGTTCGTCTTGTCGTCCCGAGGGTTGGGTGGCGAGTCGAGAGATGATTTGCCAATGAGCGATCTTCCGCGGCGCATCAGGGTAATTGTGGTTGCGTGGTGGATGTGGGCTCGCTCGTGCAGTTCTCTAGTTGAGTACATCTTTTCGTACAGTTCAAGAAGTAGAAGTGTCTGGAACAGCCACAGCTTTGCCGGCGGCCTGAAATTCGGATCCATGAAAATCTCCCATCTCAGGTGCCAGGCAATGAAATTGGACAGCTGAGCACCCGCTTTTGTGACCTTCTGGCCATGTGTTTTGTCGAGGCATGCCGCACCTATCGTCATCATTGCTAAAAGAAGCAAGTTTGGAGTCCGGTCAGGCGAGAATGTAGGCTTGTGAAGGATGGGAATCTGGTCACTGAAATGAACCCAGTATGAGCCGATGTAAGCCTGCATCATCCGCTTGCTGAGCATGTGGTCGCCGTCGCTGCGGTCACCCTCCAAGATGCTTTCACGCTGTCGCATCGCGGGAGCTTCATCGTTGTCGTGAAACCTTTGGTTGATGAAATCATAAATCTCTTGGCTCTTCTCCTCAGATATCGTGGCCTCTGGAAGATTCTGGTCAAGCAGGTTGTTGACAGCCATGACTTGATGAGGGCCCGAGGGGAAGTATCCCATAGAAACACCCTCTGTTCCCACATAGGGTACGCTATAGGGATTCTGGTATTCGCCGTAGCTGTAAAATTGTTAGCGTGGTTTCTGGCCAAACGAAGGCCTAACCAACTTGTGAACGTACCCGGGAGCCACCATCTGGCCCATGGGTGAGCCTTCACCTCCTTGTTGCGTGTTGAAGAGGTAGGCAACGAAATCTTCGGGGATTGTGACATATGGTGATTTGCTCAAGATGCTGTCGCTTCCGAAAACGGGGATCGTCCCAGGCATAGACATCTGATCGAGCAGCATCATCTCGCCTGACTGCTGGGGATGACCCTGTTCACTGTACTCGGCCGACGTGGTCGGTGCATATGTTTGGCCCTCGCGGGGTACGTTACCCGCGCCGTTGGAGAAGTCGGAGGGCGGCAAGTTGAATTGCGGAAAGTTCTGCTGAGTTGTATATGCTGCAGACTGAGGGGTATTGTGCGGCTGGGTGTGGTAGCCGTGTGGATTGGCAACCGGGGACATGTAAGACCCGTTGGGTTGTCCAACCGGCCTTGGTCCGCTCGGAGACTGTTGCGAGGGGCGATGCGCCTGAACGCCTCCGTACCCATTGTCGTGATGCATGTAGCCGTCCATTCCACCAGGGTGCACACCTATTGGGTATCCCGGTGGTGTGTTGGTTGCCTGAATGAACGGACTGCCAGATACGTCCTTGGGCGACTGATATTGCATTTGGGCTTGCCGCATGTTGGCGAAGCCTGTTCCCGGCCGACTAATCTCGGGCGAAGCAGACCCAGGCAGTGGGAAAGGTGGGCGATCCGTAGTAGGGGAGATGTGGCTCATCATCGAGTCCTTACGGTTCAAAGCAGACCCCTTGGCTGTGTGACGGTCTCTATGGCGGTTACACAAATCAAGCCGAACGAAAGTACGACTGCAATCAGGAAAGTCACAAGCGTATATCTGCTTGGGCGTGTGGTTGAGCTGGTGACGGTACCTGAGGAGTTGTTAGTTAAGTAAGGCACCGACTTCAGACATTGCCACGTACAAGTGCTCGGCTCTGGAGTAGCTCTTTCCACAGCCCTCTTGAGGGCATTCAAACTTTTTGTCCAAGCCTTTGCGACTCCTCCGTCTTTTCCTAGCAGGACCACCTTCCGAGTTGGAGGAACCGGCTTTTCCTTCGTCGCCATCGTCGTCCATGATGTCGGCATCCTTATCCTCGGAGACTTCCCGCAGTCTCCCTCTCCCCGTTTCGTGTTCTTGCTTGATGAAGTGCTGCGGACTCGTTCGCGGGTCGTGTTTTGTCGCCATTGTCGCAGGGCCGGCAGAGGGCAGCGAATTCGAGGCTTTGAAAGTAGCTGGGTGTGCGGGTAAAACAGAAGTCATGATTTTTCAGACGGCAGCT